TAAATGTACGCATTTCAGGCAATGTGAATGGATATAGGCCTATAAAATTACAGCCTCTCAATATGACAGTATCTGATTTTTCACTCTCCTTTATTGATCCACAAATATACAGATAAAGCAAAAGCAATTAAGCAATTTTGCTTAATTCAACATTTAAATCCACAACACACCAGAGACTGCACTTTAATTTGATTGGATTACTCTTGAGTTTTGCATACATGCTACAAGTGTCCGGTTACTACAGTCATGAGAGACGGGCAACTGACTGTTGTCGTTCATTTCTAAAACTGTAATTAATCCTACAGGCAAATACATGCTAAAAACAATAAAGGTGGTAAAATTTCCATAATCCATCTGGATTATTGCTTTTGAGAAAAACGTGAGAAAAGTGCTACTTACAAAGGCACTGATTTGCTTTTCTATGTTTATGGCACCACAACTGTCAACAGGAAACTGTCAACCACAAGATACACGACGTTGCTTCCAAGCAAATACTGGAAATATCCTGTCTATGCTGGGTACCACTTCTACTTCAAAATACCCTGAACACCTCACGAAACTTTTTCTTTTGGATCTAACGTAAATGTATTGGCAATTTAAACAAAAAGGTCACACTGAAGAATACTAAGCCCTTAGCCAGTCAGATATACAAGAAACAGGTTTGCATAGCTAGGATATCTCCACACCAAAATGCTAAAGACAAAAATTTGTCAAAATATCTACTTGTATTTGAAAGACATATCATGTTGGTAGTGAAATTATGTGGCATATCTTTTTCAACAATTTCCACATGGTGTGAAATCATTTTAAAATAACAAAACTCTCATGGCTTTAAAACGTAATCTTTAAATCTCATCTGAAATCTTAAGAATCCTAAATTTGGGTGACCTTTAAATGGCACTAAAATACATTTGTAATTTTAACAATAAAAATCATGTCATGTTAAACTTTACGTCTGATTAAAAATTGCTATAAAGAGTTTGGTAATGTGCAAAAATTATTATATAAAAAGAGCTTCAGCCAGAGAAATTCTTAAATGCTTTAATACACAAATGCAAACAAAGCCTCCATGATCAATACCATTTTTCCTGAGTATCTGAGTGCTCAGATTCTTAAATATAGAAGAGGATTTGTTTTTTTAATGAAGAATCTAAACATGAGAAACGTTTGAAACTGAAAGGAAAAACGTACTTAAGCAATGTCTTTTTTTCCGGTAAGTAATCCAAAGTCAGAGTGCCAAATATTTGGCACTTTACACCAATTCTTTACAATTCTGTCAAAAGTGTATATTTCAATTGCTCTTCTATTGATGAACGAATACAATTAAGACACTTTTCAAAGTGTGCCTGAAATTTTAATTCCAACCTTGAATTGATAACAAAATTGTTGGTAATGATGAAAAAATGGCACATGCATTGAAGCCCAAATATCAGTGCAAATAAATCATTTTTTTGTAATAAAAAGATTAAAACATGTTAAGGATTCTTTAATACAAAACCTTTGCTTAACATACCAGCCATAAGCTTACTTTCTATCCAATGAAACCAAAATGGACTATCCCGTGTAAATATTAATGAGCGAATACTGTGTATCAATTGGCCAAAGACTGACAAGTTGCAATGGGCTGATATTTTGTTTCAATGTTTTCCCTTATCTGGCAAGAGCATGCAATCCCAATAGATCACAGGTGAGTCTTCTGCAGCTTTTCATCCATGGAAAAGTCCTCGGTGCTCTGAGGCCAAGGATTCTCATAACTGTTAATTTCAGCAACTGTGGACCTGGACAAGATAAAACAAGGAAGTTGTGAAACAGAAGTGAAAGGAGAGGCTTTCAAATATACGTGTTGAGTAAATATTGGCTCCATTTGTCAGAGATTTTTAAAAAGGTTTCACCATGGCACAACTTCCTACTGGTGATTTTGACAATGCCTTTATCCCGGAAAGACAGACAAGAGTGAGCCAGGTTTAGCCAATGATAGGTAATCCTTCTCTACAGGATGAATCCTTCTAGAGAAAGATCTGTCCTATTGTGAAGACAATAAAACCCAACATTGTGAAGTTGCTCAGCAGAAATACTATATCAAGCAATGTCATGTGCTCAGCTAATATTTAGCTGCGATCCAGTCAACTATCAGATACTGTTATTTAGATAACATTTTATACAGTAAGATATTTCGATTGTCAAGTTTTTCATGCTAAGCAGGGAGCAGCTAGGCCTACACTCAGAAATTTGGTATGCACAAGTAGATACATGTTGCTAACCAAGACACAATGCAATAATTTTCTCTAGGCAGTCAGCTATTTTTTTGTATGAATGCGCCAGGCAATATGCAACTACTGCTTGGCGGCAGCAGGACAGGGTCCCAGCTCCACATGCATGGAGTCCCAGGCACCTACTCACCGCTGGCCAGCAGGTGGTATGAAGCCATAATCATTCTCCCTGGTATCTCTCGTCAAAGGTTGGGAATCACCATCCTCCAGAATGGGTATAGGGTCGTCCATCTGGGTGTTGGAGAGCCCCTTCTTGCGCTCCTCTCGGGCCTGTTCCGTATCGTACTTGGCACTGTGTAGAACAGGGGTTAATTGGAGGTTAGGACAAATGTAAGGGAGACAGAAGAAGAAAGCTAGTTGCCAGTTCGAATTTGTTAAGTGTGGCTAGATTTCCCACGGTTGTTTCCGGAATTGATATTAGTTTGAAGAAAAGTAAGCCATATGTGAATTAGCGGGTCAGGAACTGAAGTTTGAACTAGCTCACTGCAACGGACGATCCCTCTGTAAACTAACACGGGTCAAGAAGGTCAATCTGAAAAACTATTGTTCATTTTTTTTTTAATTGAATGTTGATGACATTGACATTTTAGAACACCACAACCATGTCCCATTATGACCGCTTAGAACACTGACTGTGATGTCCTGAAGAAATTGTATTGAATACCTATGAATTGCACTTGTAACGTGATGACTTCATTGGTATAATATATAACTGAAAGGTCCAATCAATTCATCAAAAGATTTGACAAAACTGCCATTTTTCTCAGTTTCTGCTGTATATGTCACTGCTTAGTGGTGGATCTAAAATTAACAAAAAGGGGAGGGGGTGCCCGGGATTTATGAAAAGGGGGCACTCCACCTGAAGATGAAGCAGAACAGACGAGTTTGGTGTATTTTTCATGCCTGTTTCTGCCTTTAAATGATTAAATAACCACTTCAGAAAAAAAGAAGCAAAAAGCATTTCCATATAGATAATTATAAAAAAAAACAAAAAAACCAAAAAAAATGGGTGGAGGGGGCCTCGTACAACAAAGTCCTTCTATGGCCATATTCCCAACATATGACACCCCTTTCAAACCTGAGGACAGTTGGAGCTAAAAAACACACAGAAGCATTGTATTAACGCATAGGCCCAATAAAAATTGTAAGGAAATTATGGCTGTTAATAAAAGACCCCACAAATGCACACCGATTATTTTGAAGACTGATTTACACCTAGACATCCGACTGTGATGTTAATTTATCAGGGTTATCGTTACAGTCACAATGAGGACAGCATAATGTTGTGGAATCTGCTCCTTTGTCTAGTCTGTTAGGATGAATGAGCATTTATTACAAGAGACCCTAACTTGTGTGGTTTTTCCACAAAACCTCTGGAATCTTTCCATTTGAAGCAAGATATGGGACGGAGAGAATCCCCCCCCCCACCTTTGTGTTGGTCATTGTTTTATCAGAATCTCACGAATTCTTTACAGACTTCTAGGGGGGATGTGTTAGGTAACAATAGTCTAGAGTGCGTGCAGGGATTGGACAGGTAGGGGGGTACCCCTCCATCCCATATCTTGCCGGGTATAAATCTTTCTGCCGAATTCCAGTGATTTAATTAACCAAAAGGGCAAACATTTCTGTACTTCTTGGCACTGGCAGCAAAAGTGGGGGATCAAGAGGTCCAGTGGCCATCCTTTTGTTTTCAATTGGGGAGCACACTCCCAACATGTTTTGCAAGTCCTATAATGGGTTAGACTTTGAAAATTGTTCTGCTGCCATTGCTTCCTGCAAAACTGGGACATATCAACCCAAAATATGAAGTTATGAGTTCACTCAGCATTCAGTGCTGAATTGAACAGCATGTTGCTGAAAGCTCTGTTTATTTGATACAGGCTAAGGACAATGATGGGTTACATAAGAAAATTGAGCTTGTACCTTGCAGATTTGGAATTTCGATTTCGAAGAAATCAAATAAGAGACAACAGTAGCATGATGCCCACAATGGCTTAAAATGACACATGATGGTACAAAAATGGGTTGAATGGAGATGACAACAGAGGAAATGGGATGTAAATTACACGGAAAAAGTCAACATAAAATAAATGGAGTTACAAAGACCGGGGTAGTGAAGGTAACTTCCAACATATCTTTGCAATTCTAATCCTGAACAATTTAAAAGAAAAACAAAAGTAAACAAAAATGCAGACACTTTTTCACAAATGAGATACCGTCTTTGGAGACAGAAAAGTCTTAATAAGAAGAAGCTATGATAAAATCCTAAATGGAATTTTTCAGAATAAAATGAAATTTTGCATCATTTGATTGATGCCACTTATTTCACAGAGATAAAAAAGTAAATCTTCTCCTCATTATGATTTGATTGACTGCATTGAGAAAGCTGGTGACAACCCATGAAAATCTTGCCCTGAAAAACTGATGTCAGGACTAATATTAACAGGGAAAGTAAATTTCTCTGACCATAAAAGAATTCAAGAGGGGAAACAGGTTTGATGTCCAGGAGAAGTAATGGCATCTTAGTAGTTTCTCTCTTGATGTCTTGCCAGTGTTATTTACAAAATAAATTGTATGGTTATATTTATCATACTATTGTCAAAATAATGGAGACAAAAGAGATAAAAACCTTGCAACAAGGACCACCTAAGGTGGGCCTGACTCAGCCTTCACTGGTGTAATCTAACTATGAAGTAGCACCTGCAGATACAGACTGATCCCAACCTCATAAGATCTTTGGAACATTACAAGGTCTTAATGAGGCTTGTGGCTGGTTAATGTAAAAACTGATTTTATCCTTATAGTTTTTATATTTTTCACCCATTTTTTATTTTGTATTGTTTTTTTTTTTTGAAAAAAGATGTGTGAGGAAGAAATCATTTTGAATCCTCGTCAAGGCTTAAAAATGTGTGAACAATTCAGCTTACAAACCTGAGGTTTCATGTTTCAGTGTCTTATAACCATACTCCTTAGAGATCTTTCATTTTTATTTATTTTTTAGACAGTCTTAGAACATTTTGATTCAATGTAAAAGCAAAGGGACTGGTTCAAAGCAAATGCCACACACTGGGTATACACGGTGCTTTAATGATGAGAGGATTGAAATCCAATTCTGTTTCAGAATTTGCTCTTCACTTAATTTAAATTGTTCACTTCTATAACACAGGAGTGGAATGGGTGGCTTTAATACAGAAAAATACATCGGCACTGTGTTCAAAATGCCAAAGAGAGAGAGATGCCCAAGTACTAGTAGGTCAGGTATCTTGTAGGACTCTGTAGACAACACAAAAATCTCATCAGTAAATATCAGTCAGTTGGTAATGATACCAAGCCCACAGTTAATAACAGAAAGAGACCGGTCAGTATCATTGATTTGGGCCCATTAAGCTTGTTCAGTATTTCCACTGCATGTGGTTACACCAAAATCTAATGATTTTTTATGGGGGGGAGGGGGAGAATAAGCCAGCTATCCTGTCAGTACAGAATCAAAATCTGATGAATGGTTTGAATGGTGAAGTTCGTACACAGTCGCCGAAACTCAACTGTTCAAACTCTTCTTCCATCTTTTTTGGGGGGAGGCTTCAACATTTAAGATTGTTGATACAGCTTCAACTGCCTCTATTGACCAGTGTGCATTTATCCCATGCTGAAAGTTCCCTTCGCAGTAGTAATACCTAACAAGGTTATTTGTGATATGATTATGATGATGATGATGATGACAATGATCCGTCTATCGTGAAATGAGATGAAATGAAGTGCACAGAAACAGGAGGGGGAAACCTGGGACTGGATGTTGTGTGTGGGACAGGACTTGATGAACTTACCTCAGGTGCTGTCTGGTAAATTACCAGGGAGGAAGATTTCAGTGCAAGGTGTGAACAAAAGAAGATGCAGATGAAAGAGAATGGAATGGCAAAATGCAATTTGATGGGGAATGTCTGAGAGCATTTTTCCCTATTTTGATGCACTCTAAAAACTCATCTTGGTTCAAAGGTTTAAGCACCGTTACCAGGGAATGTTGAAGCAAGCAACTACTTGCCCTCTGTGTAACTTTTATCTGTGCAAGTTTGATGAGTCTGATGATGTCAAGTGCTTACAAGCCGATGCTTATAGCCGTGAAAATGAACGCTTTGTATGCATTCAGAGGTATGGTCAATGGCACGAAAAACCCTTACAACTCTACTTCAGTTCAACCACTGCAAACCCTCCCACTCCCTCTGATACCCCTCCCCTAATGTCAGCACACATGAAGGACAAAAACCATACAATATGGTGGGGCTGCTAAAGATCCCTTGGAGCTTTTAAAGCTATTTCCTTGAACCTGCTTGCTGAACAAAGCGCCAGCTAACTTGTTTCATATTTATTGCACACACGGGCCATAAAAACGTTAAAGTGCTGTCTGGAATTGTATCAGAAAGAAGTCAAAGGTAAGTGAGAACTCGATGTTGCTGCACAGAAAACTATTATAATCAAATTCTTTAAACATTAATACAGACCCAAATTGGTTTGCCTCGAGTTATACAGTCCTACTATGGTAAAATATGAAACTTGTGCACTAACTTAGACATGCATTCACTAGCCATAGATGCATTGTTCTAGTAAGGTTGCAGTTGATATTGCAGCTTTTGTGCACATACTGATGAAAAGTGTAGGTAATTTGTAAACCAGTTCTCTCAGCAAAATTGACTCACCTTTGTGTGCGCCGTCCTCGAACGAGTAACATGAGGACGAGGAAGATGATGAGGATGACCAGGGCCGCCAGGATGCCGATAACCCATGGTGACAGGCTGATCTGATTGCCCATCCATGTATAGAATGGGTCTGAGGCCAAAGGTTTGGCTATTGGTTAAACAAGCAGAGGACACTCATTATAGTCAAATGCCACAAGGTGCTTTGGGCTTTTTTCTTTGTTCTATTTGGCAACACACAAAAAAAATATCTTAAAATGGCTAAAATGCAAAAATGGTCACTTTTCAGATTTCATAAAACTTTGAATTTAAAAATCATCCATTCAAATGTATGTGCTTCAAATGATACAAATATTTTCGGGTCAATCTTTTTCCTTTCTTTTAGATAATATTAGAAATCACATCAATTTCTGTTCAGAAATGAAAATCATCTATCCCGAGTGTTCAACATCACAGGATACATAATTCTTAATCTACAGAATTTAGTGGTCCATAAGCTATGAAAAAGTTAAACATTTAATTTACCATGAAAATAGTCAAACTTAACGCTTAGTTTACAAGGAAATCCAAAAGCGTAAAAAGAAACTTTCAGAGTCTTTTCTCACTTACCTACTACACTACAGTCATGACCACCAAAGCCCTCTGCGCACTTACAGACGAAGGTGTTTTTGCCATTTGTGCACCTTCCACCATTCAGGCAAGGGTTGGGCAGGCACTCGTTGATATCTGTCAATTGAAGAGATAATCTTTGGTGTTAGAGATGCAGCATCAGGAAAGTTTAAATTGTCAAATTGACCTTACGTACATTTTTGTTGGAGTTTTTCTGGGGATTTGCCTTGCACCCTGAAAATTTAAATACTCACCAGCCTGGTTTGCAGATGGGTGACCAAGACTCTGCTGCACTTCCAGAAAATTTAATGACATATACTTTTGTACAATCCTTTGGTGTCTTGAGGCCCGCTCAGGCTTCAGGCAATTTAAACGTGAGGCAAATATGACCACACAAATCATGAATGTTTAATTTGACATTTCAAAATCTCATTCGTGTCCACTCTTGTCAAAGTGTGAATAGCTCAGGGACTGTTGCATTGAATAATGGTGACCTAAGCCTCTTCTGAGGTCTGCTGTACACCACGACAATTCTTCAAACTGTCTGGTTGGTTTATAAGCCTCCTTTGCAACCCGTTCTTAAACCTCAGGTATGCACGGATTTGGCAAGTAACAATCAAAGTTAGTTGAAGATGTACGATGCCACTGTAGTAATGGCTTCCAAATTCCAATTGCCAAATCAGTCTCTTTTCTTTTCTGTGTCTTATGACTGATTTTGGATGTTCTTGTCGCAGTAAAACCTGCCATAAAGCGAGTCTGACTAGCCAGCTCTCTGTTCTAACCCAGAGATCAATCCCTACTTTTACGCATTTTTACGGGTTAAGATGAGGTTTTAATAACTAAGTGAACACAATTACAGTGAGTAATGTCTCAAAAAAGTCTTTGAAAATGTCTCACAAATTTCAGAAATTCAACAACAAATTCCTGATATTCTCAGAAAAAAAAATCACATCAACGTCAAAAACTTGAGTTTAACAGCACTGGCCATTTAAATATCACTTTACCATTTTCACAACGTTGTCCATTGAAACCACTGTTACATTCACAATCATAGTCGTTGACTCTGTCAATGCAGACGCCATTGCCATTGCAGGGGTTGGACATGACAGCACAGTCATCAATGTCTGGATTTAAATGATATCAATGAGACAAAAGATGAGAAAAAAAAATGGTTTTTGGTAGCAAAAATAGATTAGGCACACCCCTAAAAAGACAAAACAACCCTCACTACAAAAGAAGACAAAAGTAGGGAACAAAGTATATAGTCACCAATATTAACCATACAAATCTTAACATTAGTTTAATAAGTCTTGAAAGACTTGGAAAGCTAAGGGGGCAATTAATGTGATCAAGAGGCAAGTGGAGATTGGTTGACATTGCTGCAGAAAAACTGATTCAATCTTATTAAAATGTTTAGAATATGCTGAAGATTTGAGACGGTGAAACTCCTTGCTCAATTGTCTGTTGCTCTCACCCCGTCATTTTGCTTTTGAAAAGGATTCTACTTGGAGTGAATTGAGGCCCTCTTATTTGATTAGATTCGTTTATTTCAGGTCACTGTAGTCATCATTTAGTAGCTGTCTCTGAATTTTACATTTCTCAAAAGTTTTGCCGTAATATATTGAGCGAGACTTCCAAATACATGGTCTTTGCATGGTCACTGCTTGTTAACAGAGAGGAATGAATTTGTCGGTTTCACCATGAAGTGATGCATCATGGGCAGTTGTTACATCATGAACTGACGTATCGTGTGTCCAAACATTATGATAGTACGTCACTTCGCGTTCGTGGTGCACCCAAACTATCCTAAACGTCACTTCGTGGTGAAACCGACAAATTATTAGAACCTGGTGAATCATAGGCACAAGATATCAACTATCAACTTGAAAGGTAGCAAGCATTGAAGCAACAACAGAGGTAAAGCCACACTGAGATGGGAGACCAGACACCACTGAAGTCAACACACAGGATGCTTGTTTACCTCCCAAACAAATGATTCTCTTCAGCAAAGACATTAGGTTGTTACACAACTTACTTGTTTGGCAGAACCGTCCAGTAAATCCCACAGGACAGGTACATGTATAAGACCCCTTAGAATGCATACATGTGGCTCCTGTAGCACACGGGTTGGCATAAAGGCAGTTGGTAGTCTCTGCAATACAGATGAGAAAGAACTCAGTATTTACACTTTATAACAATAAATGAATAAATTACAATGACATGGCACTTTCTATCGGTATTTCAAAAGACTCTCTCCAGTGTGAATAAATAAGTGTACATTTTGAGCTGAGTGTTTGAAGAACGTATGAGTGGTGAGTGCAGAGGTGAGTGGTGCAGCGGGAAGCTATTCAAGAGTGGGGGTAGTTGAAGCCACTGCAAACACCCACTAACTGTAAGGTGTGTTGGCACAAGTTGCAAATGTACATTGGAGAGTTATTAGAAACTTGATGGTTTATGCTGAAACCTTTGGCCAGAATGAGCTGTTTTAAGGTAGACAGTGGTGACTTTTGCTTTCTATGAGAGAATAATTTTTCTTTGAATTCTCTGAGGAATGGAAAGCCAGTGCAGTGAGCACGATACAGGTGCAAGTGCTCTGTGCGCTTTGCTCTGACAGTCACAAGAGCTGCATTGTTATGTTATTACTTTAGGTGCTCTCATATTGAGTGAAGGTAACATTTGACCATCATTAACTAGGTTTATGCACAGAAGACATCTTTTTTTGGCGTATTCTGAAAGCATTGTAATCTATGTAATCTGATGGCAACAGAGACACTCAAACCGTTCTCTATTGTAGATAAGTTTCAAGTATGGCACTGAGGATTAGAGACTCTCTGTAAGTTGGCAATGGTGACATGGCTCTTCCCCTTTTACCTTGGATTTCGCAGTGGGTTCCAATGAAACCGTCACGGCACTCACAGACATAGCTGTTATGTCCGCCCTGACCCCCAGTGACATTGACACAGGTGCCTTGGTTAAGGCAAGGGGCAAGACGACAGGGGTCATTATCTGGAAGGAGGAAACAAAATCAACAAAATTAAAATTCTACATACAGTAGCAAGGACAGCATGTCCGTTATGATCTCATGTCAGTTATGATCCCATGTGAGTTATGTGGATTACCGTGTGATAAATGTACATCCTTGTGCAGTTGGAGTCAACAATGGACAAGTTCGATCAGCGGCAATTTGTTAACCACTGGTTGATTTTCCCTGATGCCCGATATACATTTAATGCAACAGGTAACCAGTCAAAATTGACCAATGTTTGACTATTTGTCACTGATTTGAACTTGCCTAATATTTTTCCTGGAATGAAACCACAAATCATCAGCTCTGAAGTGGCATGGTTGGCACTCCGAAACTTTGTCACTGGTATTCTAAATATTGGAATAGTCAGGTATTCTACTATGGTCAAGCTATATGCTTGGCTTTAGGCAGGCCCAATAGGCCTTTGTGCCCAGCTGTGTAAGTTCCCTTGATCGTTCCTCTTTCAAAATATAAATGTGAATTTGAATCAGGGTCTGTCCTAACGCTCCATAGAAGCTGAAGCAGCGAGCTTGCAATTGAGGACTGTTAAATTCAGAACAACCCTGTCTTCTGTAACTTAGTACAAAACAGAGTAAGCATTCCCAAGAAAAAAAATCTGGGGATGGTGTTAACCATCCTCTGAATTTTTCACAGGATATCAATTCGACAGCTTACAATTTACCCAACTCACCGATTTCGCAGTATTTGCCACCGTACCCAGCCCCACAGGTGCACTTGTAGGTGTCATTGAAGTAGGTGCACATACCATTACCCTGACAATAGTCGATGTCACAGGGAGCAGGCTGGGGAGCTGAAATCAGGCCATGCAGAGAGTAAGTCAGATTTGTGTCAGTAATAATATGTTACAAGTCTTGGTTAGGAATGCGAGTTTAGGCTTGGATGGACTGTTCATATTGTTTGCTTGGGGTCTAGTTGGGTTATTGCTCAAGACAGTTTAGGTTTGGTCATTTGCCAGGACTGGGTCACATGTTTCGGTTGGGTTGGCTTGGGTTGGGATTCGGCTATGTTAAGAGTGGTTGGAGTTGCCATTTTGAATTAATTGTAGTTGAGATTAGTATGTTTGATGTCATCTGAAACCAATGCACTTGAACTGAACACTTCCCCCAAGGAGCAAACTGGGATCAAATAAATAAGGTAGAGACTGGCTCTCTGCCTTACTTTCAGCATAGCAGGCAAGCAGACCTCCATGCTTTTCTACAAACTACTTTCCATTTGTGATTTGCCAATCTTACCATTCTCGCAGGTGTCCCCTACATGGTCAGGTGGACAGACACAGGTGAAATGGCCCACGAGGTCAACACAGGTGCCCCCATTTATGCATGGCCCAGACTGGCACTCATTGATATCTACAATGTGAAAAGGATACTGAAAGGTGATGGGGCATTGAGATCTGGATCTGAGATACATAGAGGGCAGGAAAAACCCCAGAAGAATTTTTTCGTAGAACCTATACAGAGTCAGGTAAGAACCAAAATTCATATTGACGTGTTATTCTTGCAGGAATTCGAATCCAGTGTTCAAAGATTAAAGGCAAGGAATTTGGCAGAAAGGATTGCAGCAACCCTACCTTGTTCACAGTCTTTGCCGACGTAGCCTACTGGGCATTCGCAGGAGTAGTCCATTCCAGAGTTTGTGCATGGTGCACCATTCCGGCATGGGTTATTGCCACATTTGTTCAACTCTGAAGACAGGAATCAAATACACATACAAGACAGTCACAGACCTTTTTCCGACTGCCTACCACTTGTATGGGCGGTCCAAGTTTGTAGAAAGTTCAACCATTGGGTGGTAACAGGTTTGTGCATCACAATGCACATAATCTGCTCCATCACTGTTCAAGATGGAGGTGTTCTCATTTAGCACCTGGTGTTTAAATAACTATGTTAGCTTTTGCAACAGTTTGTCAATCGTATTATTTTTGTACTGATGGTCTGCCACAATTTGCCACCACTCCTTGGCAAAAACTACAACTGTGGCAGCTGTGTGCTGTTGACCAAAATGCTTCAGGAGAAAACGGACTAAAAAGTGGATGAATTTAAAGATTCTTTGGTTTTTTTGGTTCTCTTCTGGCTTCCCCAAAAAGCAGAGATTGACAGGGGAATGCATGTTGCTATCCCTAGATTCATTATGGCAAGTGCCCCACAAAACTGTCCTGACTCCTATTGTTGCCTACCTGTTGGTGTTTGGCAGTTGTCACCAGTCCAGTACTGAGTGCAGGTACACGTGAACAGGCCATTTCCCATGTTGGAGCAGGTGCCATTGTTGATGCAAGGCAGCCTGTCGCAGGGTCGCACATCTGCAGCACACAAATCACAAGACGGTGGCTTAATGTGGCTGAGAAGCTAAATCCACCACTGTTCTAGTCAAGAGTGTGCCAAAGAAGCCATGGCATATACTTGTTTGGTACCTACAGTGTACATGACACTGGGATGCCGGGATCTATAGTCTCATTCTTAAAACTGTAACTCTGAATTATTCACATCGTCTCTCCTCAGTGGTATTTTACACAGGAACAATGTCTTCTAAAATTGTCAAGTTTACAGAGTATTGATAGAGTGCAGTTGTGTTTTACTGACATATGTTGATCTTAGAAACTTTTTTCTTTTCATAGTTTTTGTAACAAGCTCAAATCTGTTTTTGGGTGGTATCAAGATTGAGGAATCATGCACAGTATGGTGATGCATCCTGTGCCCAAAGTCTATGTACCATACACCTCTTTGCCATGTGGCAAGAATATTAAATGCTCATCATTTCATAGTGCAGCTGACCATGTGATGTTTTGTGATAAATGTCACCTTGCGAATGAAAGTTTCACTCAACCATTACTAAATTACATTCTCATCCTCAGGAAAACATCAATAAAGTACAAGGGAAAGCTGTCAGTTGATTTAACAACTTAATTCAAATCTTCATTCAAATCACACACAAAATGTTTTAAAAAAAGAAAGTGAAGATATGTCTTCATTGACTATAATGTCTACTTTCATATTTTTCATGAAAATTATTCTCGGTTAACAAATTAGGAATGACAAATAATAGTGAGCTCGTTAATTAGATGACACAATCCACTTTTGAATGGAATTGCCTACCTGTGTAACCCTCATCCAATATTTCGATGGAGAAGCCTCTCTCTGTTTTCTCCCCGTCGGTGAAGAATGTGATCCACATCGTGCTGCTGGTGGTGTCAAAGCCTTGTGGCCTGGAGTTCCCGGAGGCCTCAATCTGCAGCGTGCCCTGGTCCACGATGTTGTCTCCTAGCCCAACCTTCAGGGTGTCATAGCGATTCTCCGTGACAAAGTCCAGGACCTGGACGGTCAGGGTGCGGCCGGGGGACCCGCTGTGGATGAACCAGCGGCACTCCTCCAAGTTACGGTAGTTGGAGGGGTAGTTGGGGGAGTGCAGTTCAATCTTGCCATTCACAGGGACGGTGAAATTGTTCCTGCAGCCAATGGCTGGTGGGGACAGATGGGGGTTGAATTTAGGAAGAGGATTGAAGAGAGAAGAGGGAGAAGATGAAAAAAAACCATGGAATTTCAATTAGTTATGTCATTTAAAACTATTCCAGAAAAAATTCAAATGCAAACTCACTGATTAAATTTAAATTTGAAAACAAATTTTTGTCTACAATGGATTTAACCAATGCTGGCAACTTTATGGCAATTAATGGCAATATTCAAGACACGAGTTCACTCCTGAACAAATGGATGGCAGAAGTGCGACCAACAATAAAGCTGGGAAAATACTGTATCAAGATGGCAGAAAAGTTAACACTGATGGTTTCATGATGCAATCTGAAAGAATTGTAAACTTAACATTTTCCAACATGCGCAAGTATTGAGAGTAACAAACACAATTAAACTGGGCAGATATTTCAAATGTGGATAAGGTCAGTTTGAGGAATTTTACAAGTTTTCATTTGGGGCTGCAAAAATCTCCAGTCACAATTTGTAAAGTTGACTGAAGTGTGAAAAAGCATGCATCGCACCTTCAAGGTGACCAATGATTATTAGACTATATCTTACCGGTTTCACATCTGGTTCCAGTCCAGCCTGTTGGACATGTGCAGGTGAACTCATTGATTCCATCATAGCAGATGCCACCGTTCATGCATGGGTTGGATGAACACTCATTGATGTCTGTGCATAAGCAAACAATATTTACAACACGGTGGACTTCTGGGGATATTAAAGCTTCAAGCTTGTGGGTTTTTATTACAGCTCTGGGGCACAGTGAATGCGCCCTTGGATGCAACCAAAACTATCTTAGGAACATGGAAGGGCAGGTTTTTCTGAACTCAATGACCTGGGAAATGAATGCCTGAGACTTGGTTGTTGAAGCTCCCATGAAAACTGAGACTGACAAGCAAATGAGTGATACTTACCAATTTCACAGTGGATGCCCTCGAAGCCTGGATGACAGAAACAGCGGTAGCCTGCCATTCCCCGGTTCTCGACACACGTGGCTTGATTGTCACATGGATTTGTGGCACATTCATTCACATCTGCAACATGCCAAGAAACAACAGTTAATTTCATGCCAGGCCTGTCATACACAATTATTTGATTAAAAACTGTAGGTCAGGTGTTTACATGTAAACTAAGAATCTTTACAAGTTAAGTATAAAACATTTCCTACCAGTCACAGCAATATACATTACAATAGCATTGGCTGGTAACCTATTTCTGCAAGTACAAGTACTTGACCAGGAACTTTTTGAGTACTGTTTGAAGTAAATGTAAATGTAAATCTGAAGTCTTTAATTTTGTAATTTTACCTTTGTGCATTTACTATTCAATGTCCAAGTTCTTGAGCTTTGTTCACACAGGGTTCAATATGTGGTAGTGAAATTGATTTCGTATATGACTCAACAACGTTGCTGACAAACTCACCAACTTCGCAGCGTGATCCAGTGTAACCATCTGGGCATGCGCAGTTGTACCCATTTATCTCATCCCTGCAGATGGCGCTATTCTCACAAGGCTGGCTGGCGCACTCATCAATGTTGAAATCGCAGACTGACCCAGTGAAACCAGGCGGGCAAACACAAGTGAAGGAATTCACGCCATCAATACAGGTGGCCCCCGAACGACAGGGGTTCTGGTCACACTCCATGATTTCTGGAACAAACAAAAAGCAAGAAATTAAACAACTAGCATCAAGTCTTGACATCCTGACAAATGTGACGCAATTGAATTCAGGGCAAACACTGTAAATGGTCAACAAAAAACGTTTTTCCATTACATTTTGTTCTCAATTACTTCCAGCAAACATTGAAGGTTCTGGCTATATGAAGATGAGAAGTTTGAAAATGCAAGTTCTGAGAAAACATTGAATAAATTAAGAACAAGGAATGCTAAAATAAAAAACTCGATTTATTTTAAACATCCAAGGAGACAAGAAGAATCACATTGCTCCTTCCCTCCCATAATTGTGAACACTGTAGTGTGTGCCAAAACAGTGGAAATAACTCAGACGTGTGGGAAACAGAAGAAACATCACTTAGTACTGCAAACAGAATCTGTACCGATGTTTTAAACATCCTTTGAGCTTTTGGCTTTGGGAATCCTGAACGTCATCTGGCACGATGAAACAAAGCCCATACACATAACGCACTTCAAACTAAATTCCTGCTTTTACCTGTTTCACAATTTCTGCCAGTGAAACCAGCCTTGCAAGTGCAGATGTAGCCACTGTTTTCGTTATAACACAAGCCGTCGTTCAGGCAAGGAGAGCTGTCACACCTATCCAGGGCTGAAAATGGAGAAGGCAAGCATTGGTTACAACAAAGGCAAAACAACACTGAAATAAGTTTGTATCTGTAGACTAAATTAGATTATAAACCGTTGTAAAGAATCTGTTGACCTAGGCTTTTGAAAGAGAAAGGGTTCCACTTCAGCTAAAATAGAAATCCTAGCTTTAGGGACTTGGCCATGTTGGATTGTTACATTGCCTTGTAGCAATCTAATAAACAATGCTTTCCGTCACTCCACCAGGAAACAGTGTAATTATCTCTATCTTCACCGTTCAATCTGTTCATTGAAAATAACTGCACATGTTGCAAGGCCTACAAATGTATCACAGGTCCACGAATGAAGCTTGCATTTTAGAAGTGCGCGGCAAAGATTTCAATTTTATTCTTTCTGGTAAATACACCACACACAAGGATTCCAATACAAATATGCAAAGAGATGGAGTACAACCATGTCATGGAATTGACAGGCTTTTACTTCCAGTTTTTCAAGATACAAATCAAGAGCTTTGTGCATTTTTTTTGCCAAAAAAAAATGCCGGACAGTCCAAAACGACCACTGAACTCAGAACATACTAATTTCACAGTTGTCGCCCATGAAACCACTGAGGCAGATGCACTCATAGCGGTTTTCCTGATTGGAACAAGCCCCACTGTTGCGGCATGGTGAGGAGGTGCACTCATCAATATCTAGAAGGCAAAAAGAACACATAACAGTAAGTTAGCAAGCACAGGATTAGTCTTGGCTAAAATGGAAAATGTTGTATATGAAACCACCTGCTGAGAAATTCCCATGTATCTACAGAAAATATCACTTCACAGGTGTACAGGTCGAGTAAAATATTTGAAGCACCAGTCACAGAAATAGAAATATCACGTAATTACTTGATACTGAAATTTTTGTTGAACATTTTTGTGAGCTTGGCTTAATCCTGCTCAGTGGTTTGAAATGTCAGCAGCAAAACTCACCTATTTCACATCGCAGTCCTGTCCATCCCGGGGCACACTGGCAGCGGTAGCTGTTGACGAGGTTGTCACAGGTGGCTCTGTTCAGACACGGGTTGCTTACACACTCATTGATATCTAATGTAGGGAAAGAATGAAAACAATAAATGAAAACATGTAGCCATCAATGGTGACAAACAAAACAAATCAGCAGTTAAAACATCCTTGCTTACTGCAGATAGATAGCAGATTGTTGGATCGCATAAAATCAACATTAATGTTTTATTTTTCATGTTTCAAACAAATTCAAAATTTATAGCATAAACAATAGGTCTATGTATTGATGTTACACTTTGTTTACATTTATGTTTTCTTTTGCGAGCTATGAGAGGACGACTGATCTAAGGATCCACGAGGAAGCATAAATTTCAACAGAGAAATATGCCATAAGCATGTAGGCCAATTTTGCTTTTGAATTAAAACAATTTCCTGATGTCACAAAGGGATTTTTCTTGTGGGGTCTTGACAGTTTTCACAAACTTTCTAAATGGAAAAATTCTTTAAAAATTCCTGATAATGGAGAAACTTTCTTGCCTGGGGGCAAGTATTTAGTTGTGAAATATACCATGTCCGAACTGATAGACTGTTTACCTGTATCACAGTTTTCACCCGTCCAGCCAGGGTTGCAGGAGCATGTGTACAAACCAATCAAATTGTTGCATGCTCCGTTGATGCATGGATTGGATGCACACTCGTTGATATCTGTGGCAGGAGCAAGTTTTTTTGTTCAAATAAGGCTCAAGGAATCATGGCTTACAGGCAATACAAAATCATGGGGCAAAACTGGATCACATGCCCCCTTGAGGGAATTAGGGGTGCGTTTTTCACATGCATGTAATCACAAAACTTTTCTTGACTTATCCTACCAGTAATCAATTTCATCCTCACAACGTTGTTCTGGGTCATTGAGGAGACATGAGAGCCTCTAGAGGTGCTCTGTCCTGTTCAGTGTTTCAAATGATTTAAGAGGTAACATTTGAGTGACATAAGAATGTCAAAGTCTTTTTATGAACGGGAAACGTGGCCATTCAAGAGCAATATTAAAAATAACAGTATCCTTGCACAAGTCCCTTGAGTAATTTCAGTTATGTGCCATGGATAATAGCTTAGTTCATTCACAACAAACATGGTTTTTGCTTAAATTTCTATCCATACTAGTACTGAATTTTCACTTTTCATCTACATCACTGATAGTTCTACCCGTCTTCCAGATTTATATTCTCAAAATATCATCACTGTTTACCAATGATTTTCCAAGTCATTTCCTTATCCAAGTTGATCCTGCCCAAGATCTACAGTCCGTGTCCTATCATTGATAACTGCCAGTACCTCAGCTCAGCCCGACAGTTGAACTGTTTAACTGTTCATCACACTTTGATTACTGCTGTACCATTGATAGCTGAGTTACCGTTTTGAACCACCCTTCTTAGAGGTTAGTCCTGTCACTCCCTTACAGTATCAAAAATAATCTAACCAATTATTTTATGTGGTCCTCATCTATATACACCACTACAGAAAGCTCACACACCTGTATTACTCAAGTTGCAATTACTTGCACTTCTGTATACACCATAGCTAACAGGTTGGTACCACATTTCCCACGAGATTCATGCATCAAACATTACTGATCCACATACCTATCTGGCAGTTAAAGCCAGAATATCCTGTACGGCACTGACAGTCATAGGAGTTGACTCTATCTTGGCAAGTGCCACCATTCTGGCAAGGGAAACTGCCGCATTCATTGATGTCTGAAAACCAACGTGAGAAGCAGTAATTATAAAATCAAATCCCATGCAGAAATCCAAAAATTACAGTTTGAGTCCGTTCTGTGGATGTACTCGATCCAATAAACTGAGGGATAAAGACTCATCTGAACACCAGTGATGAATAAAAATTATGCTACATTTGCTAGGCATAAATTAATCTCCTTTCAGCATTGTGAGCCCCCAGAAGTTTCTTTTATTATGGCCTGTCTTCACCTACCAATGTCACAATTGGCTCCAGTGTAGCCCGCCTCGCAGGAGCAAGTGTACATGTTGCGACCGTTGATACAGAATGCTCCATTTTGACACGGCATTGCCTCGCATTCATCCACATCTGAAAAGAAACGACATCAGTGCACATTGACACTAAAGATTAGGGTGATTCCAGAAATGAGGGGTCCATTTTTTTCATGTCCCAGTCAAAATTGACATTTGATTCTGTAAGTCCAGAACACATTTCCTAATTTCCAAGAGTGATGAATTAATGCAAATTATTTGCCAAACTAGTAGCAATAGTTTGAAATCAATTCTGGAGATATTTCTGTGTCAAACAACAAAGGTCAGATATAACAGGGACACAAAAATGTCACACTTTTGGACCCCTAATTTCTGGAGTACCCATAACAGGACAGTAAGTGAACTACAGTTGACTCCAGTACATGTACATGAATCAAATCATTCATCACACAATGAATTTTTATATTTGGTACCCTACCATGAAGTGAAATATTATATATAGACAAGGATTTTGTCACTTCGCAACACAGTTACCAAAATTAAAATAAAATTTTTGTTGTGGTCATTTCTTTGGAAACCTTTTAACTGTAAAAAAAGGAAAGACAAAAAGTGGTGTCCACTGTTGTTGACTTTACCTTCATTGCAGTTCATACCCTGCCAGCCTGCTGGACATCTACACTGGTATCCATTGACGAGATCATCACAGGCACCCCCATTGATGCATGGATTCAGCGCACATTCATCAATGTCTGCCAGGAAAGTTTACATTCGCTACAGTAAATTGGTTTACACTGTGTACAATTTTTCATGCATTTCGAGCTTGTGTTCTGCTACATTTAGTGAAAGGGCAAAGTCTATCGGACCAAGTCTACCTAAAGATCATTGAAAGAGACCCAAACCACTTGTCAGTTTGGGGGCATCTGTGTCATTTTGAAGAGGTTATTGAATATCTTGGGCACTGAGTTATATATTGGAAACACGTGCTTAGAGCTTATTATTCCATTTGAATAATTCACTATTTAAACTTGAATTGAATTCACTTCAATTCGATCGAACATCCAAATATTCCATCTTACCGACCGACAGATTGTTTATGATTAAACAATACACAAAATCAGTTGCAATAACTCACACAATTGTACATTATAATCACTACAATAGCTTCTCACATTTACGAGTATCTCCAGCCACAATTTAGCAAGATTTAAGAGACGAACAATTCTTCTTGCCCTGTCGAAAAGGTCTATTCCTTTCAAACTTTTTTAATGAATAATTCATTTTTGAGTCGTAAGATTTCAGTCACTTTTCATTTGAATCTGCTTGAAACAAGCCTTCATATTGCAATTTTTCTCATATAAAACAAAAGAAAATTCTCCCTTTTCATGAATTTTGTATTAAAATATTCAAATTCAGAAAATAATATTCGATAATCGATCAAAAAAATATATTTGGATATTTGGTACAACCCTACATGTGCTACACCTGACTGTGTTTCTATGAAGATGAAAATGTAAAAAAACAAAGGTTGTGTGCACATGGTGAATGCATTTGCATCACCCTTTCAAACCAACCCTACCCTGGAGTCAGTTTTCCTTTTACTGAGCAGAATACTTTTTGCGAAAGTATAGAGGGTCTGTTGCAGCACAGCTAACTGCTTAGCAAGAAAATGAAATTGCATCTTAAATCTCATCCTTTTACAACTATTCAAATGAACAACTTTTTTCCCCCTTTACTGTCTGGTGATCATTCAGGTACATTATACTTTACTGTGGGAGGACCCTTACTTGTAGTACATCTGACTCCTGTCCAGCCTGGGGCACACAGACACCTGTACCTGTTGATCTGATCCATGCAGGTGGCTCCATTACTGCAAGGGTTGCTAGCGCACTCGTCAATATCTGTCCAGAAAAGAAAAAAATTAGAAAGATCTCATATACACATAAATTATCAGTGTTTCAGTGCAAGATACTAAGCTAAAAGAAAATTAGCCGAATGGGAAAGACTGGTACCCCTTTCATCCTTTGTTTTTTAATTTTCAAATGATAAATGGAAACTGTTGTCCGATGATAGGTACTTGACACTAAGCTAAATATTTCGATGCCTCATCAGTCATAAATTGTTTCCCCGTGGGTCCTGGTTGGGAAAGACAGGGAAAACTGTTCAGTTTTAGAGAATGGAGGAAAATTGGGTAGGAACCGAGAACCCAATCCACACGTTGGCCTGGACGGGATTTAAAGCAGAGTCACAGAGATGGAGATCAAGGGAAGTGCCGCTGCACTAATTTGAAGGAGTGTGACGATGTTATTAAACATGATAGTGACAGTCACCATTGTCAAGAATACTCACCAGTCTCACAGTGTGTTCCTTCAAAGCCAGAGACACAGGTGCATGTGTACGAGCTGTCGCCATCGGTGCACGTCCCACTGTTCTGACAGGGACTACTTGCACACTCATTGATGGCTATAAGGGGCAAAAGCACATTATGTGAATATCATCAACATTAACAAAATATGAGATTTTTCTATGACAGTAGACTTCAGTGACAAACGGTTGAAGATTGGTGCCTGTCATGAAAACGGTCCAGCTCGACCAAGTTATTCAACAAAATTCCTATCAGCTGAACTCAAGTTTTCACTGTTTGACAACTTCTTGAAAACTGCACTTATGGGGAAAATGCACTTTCTGTTACCAAATATGTGCAAATTATCTGTGAAGTTCAAAAATAGTGGCATTTACCATCAGAACACCTCTGTATCAATAGTTCAGTTTCTGGAGTTTCAAAGGGGTAAATGCAAGAGTTCATTTTACTTATATTCTTCCCACATTTGGGGATCTCATAGTATCAATTTCAGTCAAGTCAGTTCCAATATCACTCACGTATTTCGCACTTCAGTCCAGTGAACCCAGGAGCACAGTTGCAGGAGTACATGTTGATGCCATTCACACAGGTGGCTCCATTGACGCATGGATTTGACACACACTCATTATACTCTGCAGGGGATTAAAGTAGATCATCCTGATAAGCAATAGAACAATGGCAGCGATGATGCCCTTGATCAGGGCAGTTTTTTGCAATGCTATCTCAGCAACAAAGAGTTAAAGAGTCGTGTTCAAGAAAGTAGCTGGTTTTTATGGAATGATTCGCTGGCACTCCAAATTGCTGAGAAGATTAGTTCAAGTCGTTTTAAAACAAACTGTTTTCATATGATGCCCACACTTAGCAGGTTCTCTCAACAAGCCAATCAAGGCTGTGGCTACTGTCTTTACCTCCATTTATACAAGCATTTTTTGCTAGCCACAGCCATCCTGAAGCCACATCCAAATTACATGGTTACAGCTAGAGATGAATGGGATTATCAAAAAAATACATTGAGGCAATTAAATATCGTTGCCAACCAAGGATGAACTTTCAACAAACATTGGCTACCCACATAAAATGGCAGTCAATATGTGCAGACAAAAGAAAGCTCAACAGGCAGCACAATGTGACTTTGTTCACTCACCGTTCTCACAGTTGGTCCCATAGTAGCCAGCGGCACAGTTGCATCGGTATCGGTTGACACCATTCTCGCACGTGGCCCCATTCAGGCAGGGGTTGCTGCCACACTCATCCAGCTCCTGCTCACAGGTCTGACCCGTCCAGCCTGGCCCGCACTGACAGGTGAACGTATTGAGCTGGTTCAGGCAAGTAGCCTGGTTGCGACAGGGATTGCTGGCACATTCATTGGTGTCTTAGAAATGAAAGAAATGTTCATAGTTTGTACACAGATTTCTCTAATATTGAACTTCTAAGTATTTCAAATAACTGTGAAATATTGCTAGATTTCTGAAAGCAAGACAGGATTAAACTGTATGCAAATAAAGAAGCGTTAAATAATTCATTCCTTTCAAGCAACTTCTAAATATTTTGTGGCAAAGGCTACAACCTTTATTATGTTGTCACGCCAAAAGTGCATAGCTGTACTAGATGAGCTCTCCGCATCTCTAGTTTTGACTTGGCCTTTGTAACATTCCAAAGAACTCCAAAGAAAACTATTTACATTGAATTACAAGAGCATTTAGCTTGCCAGAAAAGAAATATAGTACTTTTTTGTGTTGTTGTTTAATGTCTAAGCTTACTGAGGCAAATATGCGCCAACCAAGAATGATCGACTGCATTGGAAAGAAGCATTTTTTTTTTGCACAGGCCTCCAACATACACAGACTTTCCATCAAAAGTTCTCATTATTTTGTTTATTAAAACACTGAAATGAAGGCACATATATTCAGGATTCCATTCCATATCATTTGAACGTCCTACACTAGTGCCCATGGTGTAAAATGGCCGCATCCAGCAGAGCTCCAATAGTGCACGGCTAGTAGTCTGTCCTTACCTGAGTCACATCTAACTCCCTGGTATCCAGGAACACAAGCACATAGGAACCCATTGACGTCATCATTACATGTAGCTCCATTCACACAAGGATTGCTGGCGCACTCATTGATGTCTAAGAGAAAAAGGGGTACACAAAGCTTGCATGGTTGAAAATTCTCTCAGATAACCAGTTGCAAATACAAAAGTAAATTTGATTTCAGAAGAAAACAGCTCCAATACATTCAAGAACTGTGTCTGTCTAAATCTGAGTTATTGACAGCATGTCTTCTTTTGACTTAAGAAAGACAAGAAATTAGTAACATGGACCATGTAAACAGTAGGGCAAAGTACTAGGTGCAGTTCTATGACTACCTCCCCTGCAGCCTGAAGGATTTTCTTTTCTGATTTTCATCTTTAACAGTCAGGAATAAAAATTAAAATAAAAGATTGCCAAATACTGTCTACATGCAATGTCCTTATTAAACCTACTTGCATTGTTCCATATCACACTGCAGTTACTCTCAGCAGAATCTTTTATATCATGCAGCGCTAGGGCAGTTTCGGGGAGTAAACTTTTTCCAGACTCATTTTGTCTTCAAAATGACAGCTACTTACCAATCTGGCAGGTGACGCCAGTCCAGCCTGGGGCACACTGACACTGGAAGAGGTTGATGTCATTCAGGCAGGTTGCGTTGTTCAGACAGGGTGTTGACAAGCACTCATCAACGTCTGGGAGAACAAGGAAGATTTCACTTTCATCAGAAAAACCCACATCCTATGCAGACCTAACTTCAGACAGTCAAGTTGTTCGTTAGCATGACTGCTGCTAATTTCACCCAAAAAACAGTCATTAACCCCAACTGATATAATAATCAGTTATCAGTAAATGGCCTGCTAACCTTTATATAAAAAAGTCAGCATAAAAAGTGATGCCACACTTATGAGAAACAGCCGCTGGCAATTACCCACATGAATGCAATTCTTTTAACATTGTGCAATGTCTCCACCAAATCCAGACTTTGAGACTTCTTGATGGAATTTGAGCAACGAATTAAAGCCCCCATAAGTCCATTTAAGCCACAGAAATAATAAAAAAAGGCTCACCTTCCTCACACGTGGACCCAGTGAAGCCATCACGGCAAGTACATAAATATCCATTGACTTGGTCCTCGCAGGTTCCACCATTCCGACATGGTGAGCTGGCACACTCATCCACATCTAGAGAGAGATTATATGATCAATCATGTGCATTAACACCAGGACGTTTGCTCAATTACTTTTCACTTATGAACGCTAAAGGATGTCAGTTTCATCCTGTGCATTTTTCATTCCTAACCCCATTCTATAGGGTTTTCCCAACAACATCATCCTCTAAATTACACCCACACCCCCCGACATATTCTCCTACATTGTCGTGCTGAGCCTTCTCAGTTATTACTAGCAGTCCTTTTGACATCAATTTTGTAAAAACTGGACATACTGTTTTCACAGGGGTCAGTCAATTCCTGTTCCGCAAGCTATGGTGTCATGGGCATCATCAGATCAATGGTGGATACAGTTACAAAATGAGGAATATGCTAAAAGCCTTTACAATAAACAGGGACATCCAAAATGAAAGGGAAAGCAAACTGTAGTGAGCTTTCTTCTCATCTTGGTGAACATTTCTCTCTTCAAAGTTACCATATAACCCGCTGACAGCAGAAGACTCAGGAAAATGGAAAGGTTCTCTCCTAAGAATAAGACCGAATATACAGGGCCACACATTCACCATCTCCCCTCTGCCATGCACTACTAATCCTTATCTCAAGAGCAAAGTTATTGATAAAATACTGTATCCCCTTTCAGAAAAGGTGTGTTACAATCTGCAAATTGTGCAGGGGTGGATCCAAGATTTTCCCAAAGGGGGCATATGACCCTGGATTTTCCAAAAGGGGGTGTGAACTAAAGCAGCAATGGTGAAATGCTGGCAAGCAGGCAGCGCAAAACCCTTACAGCATGGGGTCCAGGGCCATTTTGGCTTCTAGGCGAGGAGTAGGTGCTCTGTGGTGCAATTTCAGGCAGTATGACCCTTTTTTCTTCTCCCTCCCTCCCTCTTTCTCTTTTCTTTGTTTTTATTTATTTTTTTTGTGTGAAAAGGGGGGGAGGGGCATATGCACCCAGAAAGCCCCTGGATCCACCTCTGTGGTGTAACAATGCCCCCCGCAAAAGATCTTGACAAGCACCAACAATTCAGGTATTATCCGACTTACTGGTTTCACAACGTATCCCTGTCCAACCAGCCTGACAGGTACAGGTGAATTGGTTCTGCCCATTGCTACAGAGTCCACCGTTCAGACAGGGATTGCTCCCACACTCATCATAATCTAAGATTTGAAGGCAAAATGACACAACAGGAGCTGAATTATTAATACAGAATTATTACCGAACAAGAACACCTTCATTTTGCAGTACAGTACACATTTTCATAATATAGCAAGCACAAAATAGATAAATACGAGTTCTTAGTTCTTTTCCACAGCAAACAACTAGGCCACATCAAACAAAATTTTTCTATGAAGTTAAACTTTAAATGAACTCATCGGTAGTTTTAGACAAGCAAATGTTTCAACATGCTGATGTTCTGATAATATCAAAGAAAAAAAAATTAAGCAGCAATTTCAATAATGAAAGTGTCAAATGCACTTTGACCATCAGCCAAAAGTCTTGTGATAAATCAGTATACTTGAGTGTCTCACCTAGTTCGCAGTTGGTTGAGGTCCAGCCTGGAATACAGCGACAGGTGTAGAAGTTAATCCCATTTTCACATGTTCCACCATTCCTACATGGGGTACTGGCACACTCGTTAATTTCTGTGGGTGCAGAGAAGGTTGGCAAAAATGTATTGCAGATATTGCTCATTTCACAGACAAAAAATTGTGGACAAAATCTGCTGGGTTTTTGATACGAAATACAATTGTATCTTAAACAACTGAACAGGAGGAAGGCATAAAGAATAGAGTAATGTTGGGGAAATAGTGGAAATCAATGGCCGGAGGTACCCAGACTTCATGATTCTAAAAGCATGAGAACTAAGTATGTCTAAAGCTAAGTTGCTGACAGCATTTTTTTTGCCTAAAAAAAAAATAATAAGTGGACCATCTGGGCCACATAAACAGTATAATTAATAATTACTTTTTAAGGCTGACTTTTCAATATTACGGGAAGATATGCTTCAGTGACTAACCCCTTGCCTCAAATATTTGTTGGTTTAAACATTCGGGAGTTGGACACTAAAAATGACTTTACAGGTAATGGCCACAGAAACAACCATGGACTTGTGTGCAATTATCAAATCAAAGCCAAGTTATTAAGTCGTATCTTCATAAATAAGGCACACGTCTTTGGAGTCACTGTAAGAATACAGCATGATTTGGTTAAACTGTTTAACACAGTTATGTATAACAAAGTGATCACTTATTTTCTCCTAATTTTGGTATGACATCCATAGCAAATTACATTTAGTGGCAAATTGGAGTGATGAACTATAGTTCAACCAACACCACCCGGACAATGGACAATGGATGGTCCACTATCTGGAACTGCACACAAGGGTATGGTCACACTGTTCATTATCAATAGCCAATGTAACTTACCAGTTTGGAAGGAACCATTCCCATGAAAATAACTGCACGTGATGCAAATGACCATGTGAGCCACAAGATTTGCAGCCAACATGGCCAATGGCAAAATGTGAGTGGCAATGGGATATATATTTCCACATGGGCCCTAAGCTTCCAGTGTGGCTGTACTGTAACCACTCATTGTTAGAAAGTAAATGACTAATGGTTGAACTATAGTTCAAACCCAAACTTGTCACTGATTTGTTTTCGGTGAAGAGCCTGTTGATTCAACGATCATCTCAGTGGCGTTTATCACTGTCCAAATACGACCGTTGACTTAATTTTCAAGGCAGGCTGTCTGTCATCATACCTGTCTGACAGTTGTCTCCTGTGTAGCCTGGTGCACATTCACATTGGTATGCATTGACGAGGTCCTCGCACCGAGCTCCATTCAGGCAAGGATTACTGCTGCAGTCATTAATATCTGTAGATAACAAGCCCCCAATAAACAAGGCCAGGCAGTGTCAAAGAGCTCAACGTTCCATTATTTTTCATTAACCTCATTTACGTTATTTTTTTTGGCCAACAACTCCTTAACAATACCGTAGTATGAAACCGTGCAGCAACTGTAGTAACATTTCTTATTCTTGAGCATGACTTACCTGTTCCACAGGTGACACCAGTGTATCCAGCTTGGCACAGACAAAAGAAGGCGTTAACACCCTCAAAGCAGACACCTCCATTAGTACAGGGGCTGCTAGCACATTCAATGGATTCTGTGGGAAATCAAAGTGATGTGGGGTCTTTCAGGTGGATTCCAAAGCCACGACTCAAATGGTTCTGAGGAAATTTCAAATGGCTCTGAGGAAACTAAATGTATGAAACTACAAACACTTTTTGGTTAATAAATCAACAATATTACAAGAAGTAGAGGTATTCTTCTCCCTCATACAGTTACTGCCCTTCTTTATGATCGCTAGGATAAAGATCCAATGGCAATATCTCAAATAGATCAACTATTTCACAATATAACAAACGAGTCTGTATGTCAGAGAGTTAGAAGTTCACTCTTCACCAGCACGGTCGCATTCTGCAACAAAGAATTCCAGTCAGGGAGATTTTGTATTTCACATGGGTCACAAGGGTGTTTTTCACCAACCACAAGGTAAAATTGAGGACTGTTGGAAATACATGGACGTTCTGCTTAATTTTGCCTTCGACCCCAAAAGGTATTATGACTGTGAATAAAAGTGTCAAGGGTTGGTTTCAAACTGTAAGCTTTAGAACTGGCTAAAGCCTTGAACTCAGATTATCCTCATCCCTTGATCCTTGGGTTCTGTTCAATTTACTTTCTTGATAAAACACCTCATTACACGTTTATTCCCTTTATCAAGCAGCTTGATGATTTGCCATTTTAATCTCACCAATATTACAGAGAGTCCCTGTGAAGCCTGGAGGGCAGCGACAGAAGAACCGATCGGTTGCATGGGTGCAGGTAGCTCCGTTGGCACATGGCCCGCTCTCACACTCATCAATGTCTATTATGGAGAAGGAACAAGGCCTTAAAATATGGCTGTTTTTTTTTTTTTCAAAATTACATTCCATTAACAGTTTTTAAGTTTAATAGCCCCACCTACAATTTGGAAAATATTTTTGTCTTTTCTTTGTTGGAACCAGGCAGAAAAAGTTCTCTCACAGCCAAACAGCTTTATCAGTACCTTATAAAAAGTTTACACTTCTTGTATAAAGGTTGTAAATTTCAGCAAAGATGAGCCTATAACTGACTATGATAAATTTGAAGAAATTGTTCATTTCAATTTTTGACACAATTTGTGCCAACTAACGTGAATACTGACTCTAAGATGTACATATGTACTTTGGGTGGGGAAAGAAGAAGGAAAAAAAACAAAATTATGCTGACTACCTCTCTTATGCAAATACCATACCAGAGAAAGGAAAGGTATGTAAAGCCACATCACTTCCCTTGCAAATTTTGAAAGGGAAGCAACAGATTAACAGTTGTTCTTGAATACAAGATGACAATCCACAATGTCAAAATTAAAGTAATTGAAAGTCAAGAAGCTCCCCACTGGTCCTGACAATTTACCTGTCTCGCAATTTACCCCCATCCAGCCTGGTGCACATTGACAAGTGTAGCCATTTGTGCTGTCCACGCAGGTTCCCCCATTGGTGCAGGGCTGACTGGCACACTCATTGTTTTCTGCACAGGACGAGACAATGTAACATCACAAACTGCACTTTCCAAATGGGCTTACCGCTTACGGCCTGAGCTCATAGTGCAGACAAGAATGACTGCTTAGCAAACTTATGCAGCGAGAGCCAGTCCCAATTGACATGAGCGATCGCAATCGGTTTTTGTTAAATGAACTATCTTATGAACTTGGTAAATTTGTTTGGTTAGCAATTCTATTAAATTTTTAGATATAAGCCTTTTAATATTTAAACAATAACATTCATTTATTACTGCAAAGAAACAACAATGGTTTCACCTATTTCGCAGTTGTTGCCGAGCCAACCAGTTGGGCACTGACAGAAATAAATGTTGTTCCCGTCTGAGCAGGTTCCACCATTTTGGCAGGGCTGGCTCCCGCATTCATCAAAATCTGAGAGGAAACAATATGAGAAACGTGAAAGCAAACTTCAACATAGAAAGAGTTGCTGCCATAGGATAAACATCTATCTCTTCCAATAAAAATTAGTTAAATTGGCTCTTTTGTCTGATGACCTCATCCTCAAAGCAAAACCAATGATTAAAGAAATGGTCTTAGATGATTCTGCCCAAGTTGATACACAATCACTTTTGGTATGAAGTAAATCGAATGACAGGTTCTTGGTAGCAGGTTGTAAATGTTTTAGTTTTGATGAAAAAAATGCAGACAGCCGTGTTTAATAGTCTGTATGAGTGCAATGGCAAATGGGGCACTGTAGCACTTTTGAAGGAGACTGCTGAGCTCTCTCTGGGAATGCATTACTTAGTGAGCTGGATAAAAGGCTAGTAAGTTAGGCAGCCTTCTTCCATTACCCTAACTACCAAGGTTTTAGTTATTGATGATGCTCAGTGTGAATGCCACTTCACTAATTCACTATACACTAACTGTATCCATTTTTCCTATGATCATGAAAGTGACATTCTTCTGTTGATTACTGTCAATATTCTGTTGCTTTGTAAAATATCTAGTTTTAAGCAAGGAACAGGTCACCGTAACTTACTGAATCTGCATCTATCTCCAGCAAAGCCCGGTGCACACGTGCAGGTGTAACCATTCACTCTATCAACGCAGGTGCCACCATTCTCGCAAGGGTTGCTAACACACTCGTTTATATCTGCACATCAATCAAGCCAAAAACTGACAATTAAGCAATGGTAAAATTACAAGGATCACTTATTAGAGAGTCAACTATGGCAGTATCAAATTGTATCTTGCTCTTTTTCTACTTAAGCAGTTTTAGAAGAACCAGTCAACTAGACTCTTCTGAAACGATGTGATCTCTCAGCTTCAGTGACAACAGTCTTCTGAGGATACAAAGAGTATGCTGTGCAAGACGCCAAGTCAGCTAATTCGGCAGTTCTAGGCCAAAATCATTCACCCCCTCCCCCATTGACAAAAACCATAAGCATTAAAAGTATGTACCGTTCTTGTGATGTACCCCCTGGCTGGTACTGTACCCCCCCCCATCCCCAACACTGGCAACTCGACTGGGCAGTTCCTGTCAGAACCACACAGCAAGCAGAATAGAGATCCAGCAAACTTTACAAGTTCATTGACTTGTTTACAGAGTTGTATGGTTCTCTCATTATTCCAAATCAGGCCTAGTTTAGTCTACTTGTATTAAGCATTATAACATTTGTAAGCAGAATGTTAGGACTACGAAAAATAGGAAAAACAGATGCCAATATTCTACTATACTTATGAGAGTACTAGAGTGTCAGGCATGGAGTATGCCAAACCAGTTTCATTAGAACGTTTAAAACAATTTGTTGCGCATGAAAACAATGCAATTCAAGTTTTTGTCACATCTCGGTCACTAACAAGGGAAATAATGGTGTACAGAGTCCCATTAATTTTTTTTTCTACAATGAGGTTATCCCAGAGAGGATTGGGATGTGTCCTAATGAAGTCTGCTATTAATCTGACAAACTGTGCTTGGAAAGTAGTATTAATTAAACTGTTGATTTCTTTCTCTGCAAGCTATGGCCTCATTGCTGATGGCTCTACTGCCTCTGATAAAAAGAACTGAATGGTCACAATGTAAATGCATGAAGTGCACCAAGGAGGTTAAAAGTCCGAGGTAGACAGCTGCCAGTCTACAATGTGAAAGCATCAAATGTCAAAGAACAGCAGGATTCATTTGGGAAGAGGCTACATCTTTGTAATGTTCCAGGGTAGGGTGAATGAAGGTCAACTAGCTTCTGCGACTTGATAACATCTCTTTCGATGCAATAGTCATGATTGGGAGGAATCAGCAGATGTGATGTATGCTATAAGGCTGCAACAAATCTTTGGTTCAGGAAAAAAAATAACCAGTCTCACCAATTCCACAGTTGGGGCCTGTGTATCCCATCAGGCACCGGCAGAAATAGGCATTAACACCATTAAAGCATGTGGCATTGTTGAAGCAAGGTCTACTGTCACATTCATCGACGTCTGTTAACAGAAATAAAAAGCATTTCATAATGTTATTCTACAGGAAATTTCACTTTTCATATGTTATCTCCAGGTGCAGTAAAGCTTGCCTCCTTTGGTGACCCATGGAATATTGCACCTAAGGAAACAGAGCACACCACTGATCATATCGGGAGACCCATTTTACTACACCACTCAAATGCAATCAATATTTGTGCAGACAATCAATTACAATCACCTGCCTGAACTCAATGAAGAGTTCATAATAAATTTCAGCTGAGTATATGACACAGTTTTTCCCTTGGAAAACCACATTAATAACTAGTGGATTCACCCAATCCTTGGGTATTGTCAGGGAGAGGGTAGAGCTCTATGAGGGTGGAGAGAGAGTGAAGAGGAAACACAAACCACCAACGATGGAAGAGATCGACAAAGAGGCACTTTTATAAGAAATTTCTTTTTCTCTTCAGTTTTTCCCATTTTTGACATGGGCTTGGGAAAGCTCTCCCCTGCCCCCTTTGCAACACCCATGGCCCAAGCAGAGAAACATACCTATTTCGCAGTTAGCACCTGTGTGGCCAGCAAAGCAGTTGCAGAAGTACTCATTCAAGCCATCAACACACATGCCATTGACGCAGGGATTGTTGGCACACTCATTGAAGTTGCTTTCGCAGTTGAAGCCGGTAAATCCGGGGGCGCACAGGCAGGTGTACGAGTTGATCCCATCCACACAGGTCCCTCCCTGGCGGCAAGGTAGGCTGCTGCATTCATCATTGTCTGCATTTCAATGAAAGCACAACCAAGACTGTTTCTCTTTGCACTACATTTTGGCACGCTACATTCTGTGGATGCTTAAGAGCTTTTCAAGTAATACTTTCACAACAGCACCTTCTTAGAATTATCTGAATTTTGATCTTCACCGGGAAATGAGGATCAAATTTCAAGACTTTGCTCGGGAATCACTTCAAGTCCTGAATTCTTTTCAAGACCAAATTATTAGCCGAAATTTTGCAAATATGTACATATTTCTTGCATGCCCGTGTAAATATTAAAAAAAAAAATAAAACATTCATATTTGTTGAGACCTTGATAACTAATTAAGTCTGATTTCTACCCTGCCATCTGACTTTTAGGTTTGTTTGAGGACTTTTGCAAACGACTAAAATGACAGTCATGCATCAGGTTACATACTTCAAGGAGTCTACTCACTGATTTCACAGTTAATGCCGCTGAATCCAGGCAAACACAAACAGACAAATCCAGCCCGTCTATCATCACAAGTGCCTCCATTTTGACACGGGTCATTAGTGCATTCATCAATGTCTGTCCAAGAAAAAATGGGTGGAAATTGCAAGCACTATTGAAAACATATGGTAAGTATAAAATTCACTACATACCATTCTTCTTGTTTTGTCTGATATGGCCAAAAAATAACCGTTTATCAAAGTCCAGAGACTTCAATTTGCAGTCCTAACTATCTTCGCCATTCCTTCTGGTCAAGAACCCGTCACATGGCCGGTCTTAAATAGTTGACAAAGTAACGGTTGGCTGTGTACAAACACAGTGCACCAATTTCCTTGTGTGGAATGTTTATGACTACACAGGAGAGAAACGTATTATGACATGGCTAGATGTTTGACAAAATAAAGTAAAAATGTTAAACAAAATCAATTTAAATTTATAACATTTAAAGTACGATTTGACTTTGTGACTTGAAAGGCATTTACATTTACCTTAAACTTTGGTTTATGAGAATGAATACTGATAATATCCAGTTCCTTTGGCTCCAGCATTATCAGCTCTACATTTCTAATCTAGTCTTAAACATTTAAAGCCGGCTAAGCAAAGCATATATATTCCCTTATTATTAAGTACACATAATTTGTTGCTCTGGCAACATGGCCTAAGTTTGTGACTGATAATATGGCAAAAAAAGGAAGGAACGATGGTCAATATATTCTTCATTATTTAGTCAAAACAAATCTCCTTTTTCATAGGTTTGACTCCAGTCATTCCCCAATTTCCAAAGGTTGTCTCATCACCACGGCTGAGAATCTCAAGACTGCAGCTTACCTGTCTCACAGTTCAATCCAGTGAAACCGGCCAGGCACGTGCATTCGTATCTGTTCTGCAGGTTGGCACACTGCCCGCTGTTCTGGCATGGATTGCTAGAACACTCATCGATATCTGGAAAAAAATTGTAAGTAGATCCAGTACAATGAGTGAAAACATTACCTCATTGCTGAAGGATGCACTGGGAACTCAGACGAAATGTAAGCGATTGATAATATTAGGGATTATAATCGTTTGTAAAACACAACATCCGGCTATAAACTGGTACTGAAGGTGCTATGACCATATTAAATAAAATGATAATACCCTAAGACCATGTTTGCCCACATTTTCATATTTGTTAGAAACAAGAATATTACTCTTATATTCTCCAATGTGGAATTAAATATTTAGAAGTAACCTCTCCCTTCCCAAAACAGTGTTTTGAGTAAAATGAAATAAAACAAACAAAACATAAACAGCATGCAGTGAGAATGCCACCAATATGGCAGACAATTGCTGGTTTTGAGCTATAAGTATGGCAAGTAATTTCATCCTTTGATGCTGGACAATATTTAGCTGTCTCTACAAAAAGTAACCTTCACTCTTTATCTTAATCTTTATTCTGCCCTTAAATGCTGCATAATTTCAGGCAATGTACATAATCCAATAAATAAAACTACTTTGGCCTTTTTGGCCACCAATATTAATCAGTTTACATCCAGGTCCATCTTCACAGGTACCCATTTATATACCTGTTGGACAGAGGAAAGTGTGGGTAAAGTGTCTTGTCCACAAATCACAACCTGCAACCACCTGTGTGCTAGATTCGAACCACCCCCCCCCCCCGACCATGTGGCAGATTCTCACCTCTTTCGCAGTTGTTCCCTTCCCATCCCGGCACGCAGGCACAACTGAAGCCGTTCAGCATGTCCGTACATGTTCCACCATTCAAGCAAGGAATACTGCTGCAATCGTTCAAGTCTGACATAGAAAGTAAACAAGAAAAGAAATATAGTAGACAGAGGTCACTATTGAAATTCTAGCACAGTAAGTCTAAACTTAAACCTACGCTTACAAGGGCAGATCCAAGAAAGACTGATTTTTTTTTAGAAGGGGGGCAAGGATGGTTTTCAGGAGGAGGGCCAACATTTGAGGGGTAAATTACTGCACGTAATCACGATGGCCTTTCTAAAGAGTGGGCCAGCATTTTAAAGCTTTTTACATCTTCCTTACATTTTGTGACAACGAGGGAAATGAAGCAGTCTGGCATATCGATTCCTTGGAGGAAGTTAGCTTGCCAGAGTTTACTTCCCACTGCACGCCAATGGAAAACTGCCCCAAAAATGGATTTTTCTTGCATCTTTTGTCACTGTATACATAATTCTCACAATATATCGTAGTTTTTAAAGGAGCACAAATGCTATACAAGATACAAGATGCTATACTTTCAGAAAATAACCAATAAAATGAAATTCTTAATCATTTAGGCTTGCGAATTTCATGACAAATGTCACATTTTCCATCAAAAGCGGGCTCATTTCCTGTATGAAATCCTGTTTTGCATGCAACTCCTATTAACTTTAACTGGTCGTATCATTTAACAGCACCACTGTACGGCTTAATTTCAGAAATTGTTTCTTCTGCAAGCCTTTGGCTAGCTAATAATCTAAGAATCATTGTGGTTGGTTCAGGAAAACACTCACGTTTCTTTCTTTTAAAAGAAATACCCATCTAAAGTTGGCGCTACTTGTCAGTGGTTCGGCTGGCAATGACTAGTCTTTTCATGTGAATTATCAATACTATCCCATGGGTGCTCATGCACGCGGGTGCACACAAAAGTACTGTTTTGGGAAAGACATGGTCCCACTTGCCCCTCCCCCCTCCACATTCCCCCTGGGTTAATTAATGTTCCCTCACCAGTTTCACAGTTGGGTCCTGTCCAACCCTGCAGGCAGTCACACCGGTACATGTTGATGAGGTCGAAGCACATGCCACCGTTCTGGCAGGGGTTGCTAGCACACTCATTGACGTTGACAGTGCAGTGCACGCCTTCCCAGCCCGAAGCACACATGCAAGTGTAGGAATTATCCCCGTCAACGCAGGTGGCGCCGTTCTGGCATGGGAAGGAGCGACATTCGTCTATGGCTGTTGGGAAGAGACGATTTCATTTTTATCCTAATTTGAGCTGTAAATGCGTACCTCAAGAATAGATGTTGCATTGGCATAGCAAGTTCATTTTCTTGGGGGGGGGAATAGGAGGTGGGTAAAAAAGGGAGATAGATAGAAATAATGCTGAAAAAACATCCATTTGGCAAGGAAGACAGATTTTTTTACCTGTCATTTGACCTCTTTGAAATCCAAAAAGGAGACTGCTTAAGGCATACAGTACTGGACAATAGGCAGCACTCTCAATGGGAACACTTAATAGTGACATTCAACCCTACCAAAGGGCTTATGAGAAACGACAATTGTGAAAAAAAGCAGTCATAAAAGGGCCTCTAATGAGAAAACACTGCAGGGTGAACAGGGTACCTGGACACTATGCCACTGCATCTTGACAGTGCAGCTGCAACACTTGTGAATTCTTAAAACTGAGCAGTTTTTCAAAACAAGTTATTTCACGACATGTACCTAAAGGAGCACAAATCTGAAAATATTTGTGTTAAAAGCACTGAACTCTTTGAACACAATAATATCGGCACAGACAACTGTACTAAATTCCATTATGTTTTTCCAGATAAAAGTTAACATATTTGGATTATCTTAATTGAAAAGTTACACAACTCTGAAGCTCACAAATGCCTGAATATCAAGACTATTTTGAAAAGCTGGTAACATCCAATTTCTTAGAACTTTCACAGGTGTTTGAAGCTGGGGATGGGGAAGAGGGCAGGAGGGTGGGGGGTGGACTAGGAAGGCAGGAAGGGAGGAGACATCACATACCTTGTTCACAACGGTCGCCCTCCCAGCCATTGAAACAGAAACAATTATATCTGTTGTCACCGTCGGTGCACATGCCATTCACACATGGATTGCTGCCACACTCATCATTGTCTGTACAATATTTCAAAGAAAAACAAGACAACATACAACATGAAAAGGTCTGTCATTTGACGGACTTCAAAACTTACAGAGTACAAAAATCATTCGGCCTACACTCTCAGAGGTAAAAGAAAAAACGATAATGGGAGTTTCGACGATAGGCACATCAACTTTTCTTTGCAAGCTGAATGTGGATTCTAACATTTCAGGTAACATTTAGTGCACAAGTGCTGAGGCTCTGGAGCTCAAATTAATGGTGAGGCTTGAATGCTACATGAAAAACCAGACTCGACTTGTCAGTACTAAAACCATTTGACTTTCCACAAATGACAACCGTCCATGGTAATCAAATGCCATCCCACAGGAAGAATTGAAGGCACAGCGAGGAAGCACTCAACTTTGCTTGTCAGTCTGTGATATCATAGGCCTACATCATGAGACAGCTGGTTGACCAAAGTGACCAGTATCAAGGCAGGTGCCATTGAGAAATAACTCAGGTTTATAACAGAGCAGCTAATCATTCTAGTGCCCTGTTTGTCTGCTCTCAGTGCGAGTAGTCCCATGGAAAACCGTTGTATCTATTTTTTTACCAGACAGAATTCTATCCCTGCTCATCTGTGTATTAAAAATAGAAAATCTTTCCAAATAGCTCCACCACACATAAAAACCTCAATTTGGCACTGTTTAGACCACAATAAAATGTTTTACTTTTTTCTCACTCGACACAATGAACCATTGTTTTATCAAATTACTTCATTGGCTCATTCATATCAAGGAAGAGTGAAGATGCTGAAAATACTATACTCACTGATCTCACAGTGGAAGCCACTGAAACCAGGCCTGCAGTTACACATATATCCATTCACCTGATCCACACAGGAACCACTGTTCTGGCATGGTGCACTGCTGCATTCATTAATATCTGACAATTGGGGGGAAAATAAAACCAATAAGCATGGCGGGCCCCAAATGGACTTCAAACGAGAAAAGAGACTGTGTGTCACTTGAAATAAATTTAGATCCGCTAGGACTCCTGTGAACTTTGTGGCCAGTCATGAGGCTGCCTTTGCCCCTTTGTGTCCACTTTTATGCTGTGACGAACAAAGAAATACAGAGTACCAAAGTGTGACATAATGTTGAACCAGGAAGTGTAGTGCAAATGAATGGAGTATGCTGGTTCACTCACTGGTTGTGTGCGTGATGTATTGACTTTGGTATGGTTCTTTATACACGCAACACAGAATTCATTAACTACAAGCTTTCTCACGATGAATGAACAGTGAATCCAATCATCTGTAACATACATGAGCAGTAAATGTTTCCTTTATTTATTTTGTTAAACAAAGCTTTGGGTGTATGTAAAATCCTACTGAAATTGGAGGATTGAGGACTGTTAGGGATAATATCAATGTTTCAGTTTTCTACCACCCTTGGAGCCATTGGAACATTTCAACAGCGGAATTATTCATGAACTCATGTAACTACTTGCAACACGGCTTTGTTATGAGGATACGTCCAAGGGAAATGTAATTTTAAAAGTTCTATTGCATCGCTCTAAAGATCAAGGTAGGAATTCTAAAAGGAAAATTGCTCTCATTGAAAGAAACCTCAAGCCATTCCTTCAATTATATCTTCCTTACTTGTTTGACAGCGAGGACCTGTGAAGCCAGACAGACAGGTACACCTGTAGCCATTGGGAAAATCGCTGCAAGCTGCACCATTGGCACATGGATTGCTCTGACACTCGTCGATGTCTGTCACACAGAAAGATTTGAGGACATCAGATACAAAACATTTGCCTCTACACCTGAAGTAGTAGGATAACAAACCTAGAGCTACGGAAAACTTGTCAATTATGGTTTTTGGTTTGGAGCTGGAAAAACAAATAGCTCAGGTGCTTGACTGATCTGCATATGACTTCATAAAGGTTAAAATATTATTTAAATACTCTGTGGAAGTAAGTAAAAAACAAACTGTATGTAACACCAGCACATGGTAAGGTTCCTTTGTTCCATTTGAGTTAAAATGTTAACAAGGGCACACTCAGAACAAAATTTGAGGGGAACAAGATTGTTTTGAGGGCATAAGAAAATTGGACATCTCTTCTGGGGATAAACATGGAAGATTTTTCACCAATGTTCTGAAGGTCAAAAAACGAAAAATCCTCAGTGACATTTTTTAAGTAATTCACTTCAGGGTTAATCTAAGTCAATAAACATAGGACTGAAGTACCTATTTCGCAGTTAGTTCCTGTGAATCCACTCTGACACTGGCAGTCATAGCCGTTGATTTGATCAATGCATATCCCGCCATTGCTGCATAGGTTGTTGAGACATTCATCAATATCTGGGTGGGCAAACACAGGCCAGACTCAAACCCGTGAGTGGCTTTCTTCAACAGGAAAAAAGAGGGAACTCGGCAACCTGACAACAACAAACTTTGGGACCAATGCAGCACGTGTGAGCACTTTTCTGTATACATTCAATGTGGGTAAGACAAACGTTATTCTGCAAACCAATGCAGTCTTTGTGTAAGAAGAAACTTACCTCAATACCTTGTACATTTTTTTCCTTTTCGATCTCCAACTTCAGCTATTTTTCACGGAACTTTCTCGATTGCTTCAAAATTAAATGCTACTACTTCTACCTCTCAATGGACTTACTTATTTGACAGCGGGGACCACTGAAACCATCCGCACACATGCAGGCAAAACTGTTTTCTCCATCAATGCAGGTCGCTCCATTACTACAGGGGTCACCCAAGCAGTCATTAATATCTGGGGAAATTCACAAAAAGTCATCATTAATTACCTAATTCTGCTTCTTTGACCATGTAAAAGAACGATGGTGCCCCTGTAGAAGTTGGTTAAGTAGCAACTACATGCAGTGTAGCCAGCATACAATATTAGCTACAGGATTACATGATTACAGGGAAATTAATTGTCAACATTTTTTCATGAACTGAAACACAAGTGCTACATGTATCATGTCAAAACTAAGGTAATGAGTCACATGCAGCACATGGATACGCGCATGCATAGTACACTGATGTACAAAAGAATTCTTTCAGTTTCCACGAACTGAGATGGAAGCATGTAGAAAAAAAACACCATTCCAAGAAAAAAAGCTTTGAAATTGATGCAAACATCTTAAATATTAAAACTGAAATTCTTTCAACTTCAAAAATTTAAGATAAATTCCAGTTTAAGAAAAAAATGGAAACCAAAATGACTTGGTTACTGAGAATGCAGTACACTAGGGTATGGTGACTATCAGTTTGTGGTGTTAGCAAGGGAGTGAAATCTGCAAGGTCTTCTCTTGGGAACCTGCTGCATAGTGGCAATGGTGTTCTGAAATGACCAACCTTTTCTCTTTGGTTCCACATCAGATTTCATTGCCTGCGAAGAGCAGCTGGGATTCTAACAGAGTTTAATTGTCAAATTTCCATTCTTTCCAAGGTTGACATATTTTAACTCTACATTCTTTCAATATTCAGTAGACAATTTCGTTAACAGATGAAACATGAGAGCCCAATTATAGGTCTAGAAGAGTAAAATTTTAAGAGCAAAGATTGGAATGAGAAGCTTGAACACAAGGCCATTAGCTCCAACTTTTAGTGAAAATGTAATGTTGAGATACACAAAAAAGATCTGATTGTTCGTACTTATCTCGCACTGGTTACCAGTGAAACCGGGTCGGCAGGTGCAACTATAGTTATTGACGAGGTCATTACAGGTACCAGCGTTCTCACATGGGTTGGAAGCACAATCATTGATGTCTGGAATTGGCAGAAGAAAATCACATTCACATATCCCAAAGTCGTAGCATTACTCCACTATCAATTTAGCTCAAGAACAGTAAGCTATCTGGGCTCCAGGTTCTGGTTATGGCTAGGAACCATTCATCCTAAGAGCAATAAGCGGATTCAGAGGAGAGGAGACTGCCTTTCCGATCGGCTTATTTTTATGCTGAAATGGTTCAAATTTTTGTTTGGCTACAGTTCCATTTGTTGGTTTCCCCCTTCCCCCTCCCCCCGCCCCCGAAAAAATGTTGGGTGTCTCCCTTTTTTTTTTTTTACTTTATCTTCACTGTAGTTGACTTTTCTACAGCCAGAGCAAAACCAGTTCCCATCGGTTTTCTTGCAAGATTGGAAGCTGAATGGAAAAGGTGTCAGAAACTGTGTTGGTTGTCATGAAGGGAATCTTGGGGAATGCACGGGCACTCACTTTCGTCACAGTTCGGGCCAGTGTATCCCTGGCGACACACACACTGATACATATTGATGAGATCTAGACATGTTCCTCCATTTCTGCATGGTGCACTTGTGCACTCCTCAAAGTCTGGAAACAAATGATATTTATCATTTCAATCAATCAAATATGGCAAAAACCGCAAGTCTTGTGCAAATTACTCACATCATGCCAGTGCACGTACCTTCCGAATTAATTTTTTTGAGGGTGGCTGTTGAAGATGGGGCCATGAGAGGTGGGTTGGCAGCAAGCCGCTCCCCCCCCCCATCGGAAAAACCACAAACACAAAACTATCTGTTGTTTTTATCATGTGCTACTACTGCTACTACCCCCCCTAAAACTGGGGGTGTCTGTTCAGGACATAGTCAGTCTAATTTTTCTGACCTCATATGGATTTTTGTCTTACTTCCTGCTGGACATTTAGCAGCTCTTTGCTCAGAGCATGGCACATTATCAATGCCCAATGTACATCTCCGCATTCTAACAGTTGTCAGCTGACATGTTGCTTAATGTCTGTCACTACCAGGAATGGATTGACTGGAAGGAAACCTGATCACTTTATCACTATTTTTATCAAATCTGACACAGTATTTATGAGGCAAGAAACAAAATGCTTCAACAGATATTAGCACAGCCAACACAGTGAGAAATAGCAATAAGTAGACATACATATCAATACACACAAAAGAGTTTCGCTGTTTGAAACAAATCGATATATACTCTTGACCTATCAAGTTTTAACAGCAAGCACAAACATGTATGACCAACATGGATGTCAATTCTACAAGCTATCTGACTGAAATCAATTTTGTAACGCTTCCACTCAACACAAAGTTTACACAAAGCAATCCAATGGGAAAATGGGTTGTGCTGAAGTGAATGGTAGCAACCTAAACACTGTCAATGCAAGTTTCATTACAGACTTACTGACTTGACAGGTGTCCCCTGTCCAGCCCATTGGGCACATACACTCAAACGCATTCACCCTGTCGGTACAAGTTCCTCTGTTGTCACATGGGTTGGAGCTGCACTCATCAATGTCTTTGCAAAAAGCATGAACCAAACCAAATGTCAGAAATATCACTCACAGGAAAAGCTTAAACCTGGGGGGATGAATGCTTTACAATAAAGGGTGTCATAATGGATTTACACCTCATGCATGACTGTGAACTTAAGTGCCTCAACCTATCAATACAGTGCATTTCAAGTTTTTATATGGCTTCTTTCTAATATTTTCCCTTTGCTTTCCATTTTTGAACATTAGAAAACTAAAAACTGCAACATGCTTTACTTCTCATCATCTAAAGGTGGAGTGTGATCAAATGGATTACAAGTGGCCAAAAAGTGGAATTCCTCATGATATATGGTCCCTGATCATAATGGGCCCTTTCATGACTAGCAGAACTAGAAAGTATAGTGCTGCTCCAGGCCACCCCATCACATTTCTTTCATGACCATGTGCATCTTTAACTTAAGGGCTGTACTATAAATTAAGAGTCCAATGTGTTCTGTGTCCATGTCACATCTGACATATGATTTTGTAAGGTCAGAACACATTCTCTAATTTGCAAGAGTGATCAATTAATACACATTACCTGCCAAACAAGTTTGAAACCAATTTCAGTGATATATCAGTAAAATTACACAGGTCAGGTATAACAGGGGCACAAAAATGTCACACTTTTAGACCCCGAATTTATAGAATGACCCTTCAGCTATGGACATGTCTTGCATCGATATCCTTCTTGATTTGAATAGGCTACATTCATATTGGAATGCTATACACAAGCTTTCCACATTTTCAAACAGTCACTCATGACTGGCAGCATTAGGAAGATTGGCGTTGCTCCAAGCTGAGTATCAGTGAGTGAGTCAAACTTTAGCTGATCAAACATCTAGCATCCTTCTTGATATGAATGGGCCACACTCACAGCAGAACACTTATACTCAAGCTTTCCGAGTTTTGAAACAGCTGCTCATGGTGAGCAACGCTACATATTCAAGGTCCTATCCCAAATGAAGAATGTTTTTTCTATACCGGTGCCACAACGAGACCCGTTAAAGCCAGGCAAGCATGAGCAGGTGTAGCTGTTGAAGCGATCGATGCATATACCGGCATTCAGACATGGGTTGGGGACACAATCATTGATATCTGTCAGAAAATGGGGGAAATACATGAAAGACCTTAAATCACAATCCTAACGAGGGTGTCAGTTTCAGATTCAGCACGTAACAAACAAGGGAAGAAGCCAACACTTACAAAAGAGGGGGCATTTTAACTGTTTGTGCTGAGTGTACATCTATTAAAATTTGTACATAAATTATCTGGGACTGTTACAAACTGTAGGACACATTCCAAAGGTACCTCAAATAAATATCAAGCTGTAGGTAACCTCATTTTGAAACAAAACTGTTGCAGACTAATTCAGACATTTATCTTTTTCCAATCAATTTCTTCACACATGGTTCATATAAATTAACAGAGATGAACCTGTAGGTGAGACAAGATTTTTCCATGCATTAGGTAATTAATACGTCCATTCCCGGCACACAGGTTCACAAATAGCAAATGTTTGTCTTGCCTGTAAAACATCTTATGGTCACAGTGATTTTAAACAGGGAATATGACCTGTAAGCATTTACTTGTTAAGTGAAAATGATCAACAGCAAGTAATACAATGTCACGCAATAACTTTTTTTGCTTCTTGTCATGCCAGTGTATATGTTTTTATCGACCTACTCTGACGACTTGGTGCAAGCAGTCATCAAAGTTCAATATAATCCACCTTTGCTGACCGTCAGTGGCAAACAACATTTCCATGTAGACCTATTAAAGTGCGCATCATTGGGGACTATCATACAAACATAACATGGTTTGAGGTTGGACAGTCAATCTTACCTCCCCTCAGTATTGGGAGTTGACGAACTAGTTTCCGAGGCAAAAAATCAAAATAAACCATGTTATCTTTGTTTTACTAAAACTCATATATATTTTCGTTAATAACCTCTGAAAATAAAAACCATCATCATTAATTTTTTTCCACGAACTTTTATTTTGTTCCTAAGGTCGAAACACAAGCACTTCATCAGTTCAGCATCGCTTAGCTGAGGAAAATGCAGATTGTCTTTTACGTGTGTTGCCATCTTTTCATATGAGCTGCATAGCGTTGCTAGGCTGGTGCCACCATACCATGAGTGCACAGTTCCTGGATTTTCTGCTTCTTTAACTGTCACCAGGGTGAACCGGGCAACAGTTAAAAATGTATGCATATTTACTCCTTGCATGAACGATCACATGTGCGCTTGGCAAAGAGTAAAAATAGCAGCTGGCACGAGACCAATCCACCAATGAGAGTTCGGCGATCTGTCATGAATATGTATCGGGTATAGTCATCAGCAATCAGTGATGCTCTCTGCATTTGTTTACATCGATATGGAAACTAGGCTTTATGAGTGACTCAAGAGATTGCTAGCTCCTTTTCCTATTGAGATTGAGCTTCAACATACGGCATGAACAATGATGACTGACAACAATTTGGGGGAAAATACTCATCAAACTCACCGCGTTCACACATGTCTCCTTCCCAACCAGCTGTACAAGTACAGCTGTAACCATCGACTAGATCCGTGCATGTCCCACCATTCCTGCAAGGTGCACTGCCACACTCGTTGAAATCTAAGACAGGAGGAGAAAAGCTTTTTAGGAACATGACTGTTTGAAAATGTACTACTTTACAAAAACACCAGACCTCTTGAGTTGAATTTTAATGTTCTACCATCCATGCCAGTGGCATAAATCTGTGCCGAGGACTGGGGGATGGGGTGAATAAGATAATCTGCACAACATGATGCTAGAGGGTACTTTCATGATAGAAATGTACATATTACATCAAAATGATAGATTTAAAAGCTTTTGAAATGTTTGTTCCTTTTAAAAATACTTGTTAATTTTGTTAAGAAGTTCAAAAATTAACTAGGCGTTAGTGTGGAAACCAGCGCAGGACCCAACATACGTTCATATACGTATTCCATTCATCTGCACTAAACTTCTAGTTCAAATCACGTCATGCTTTGGAACTCTATAGCTGCCCAGACCCTATTTATGTAGGCTACAAAGACTATTGAAAATACTGAGGACTGTATCACTGGGTACCTTCCACATGGAGGATTTGAGGATCCTCATAAATGGATTTATAGGTCATAAACATACTTTTAAAAGGACTTAGGGTTTACAATATACCAACCAATTTGGCAGTGGTCTCCAACATAACCAGCAGGGCATGAACAGACGTACATATTCAGTTGATCAACACACGTAGCATTATTTAGACAAGGTGAACTGGAACACTCATCAATATCTGTGGAAAATTGTCAGCAGGTACAAAACTGAAAACAGTGTAAGTCTTTAAAAGTAATTAAAAGACCCATTTCAGAGATTGTACCTCTACACTGGCTGAAAAGTCACACAGTGTTTGCTACTTCTCCATGTTTAATATGCACTCCAAAAAAAAAGACAGTGGCATGGCAGGCTAGAATTTTCTTAGAAGTTCTACATGCATAACAATTAAAGCACTGTACCCTAAGCAAAAAAGTTCTGCAGTTGTTTGCAGGTGGATTAATTTGGCTTATTGATACTTTTATAGCTAGTACATTGTGCAACTTTTTGAAACCCTTTAAGATGTAGGCAAGACCATGTTAATTTGGGGGACAATCAAGAGAAATGTATGCAAAGTATAAATTGTTTACAATTAAAAGAGAAATGTATTCAAATTTTCTTTTGGTTCTGCTTGGATACGTTGTTTCTTGTTTGCAGGATCTATGGAGAGGTATCATATGAAATAAAGTGTTCAATGCTTTAATTAAATTAAGGTGCAGAAAAAATACCTTCCCTTGGTGAATCATCAAGCATTCCCGAGAATTCCTCTTGTTTTTGTTACCATTTTATCTGAGTGACAGGGGCTCATTTTGGGGATATAGACAAAAGTCACCTCTTTTGTCTTCTCAGTTGTAGTCTGAACATGAGAATGTTGTAGCAAGACCATTTCAAAGTATGGGATCAGTCCATTTCCAGACGAGGGGGGGTATTCTGTACTTACTGATGTCACAATTTTTGCCACTCCATCCTGCAACACAGCGGCAGAAATAATCATTGACTCTGTCCTCACACGTGGCGCCATTCTGACAACGATTTGTGATACAGTCATCATCATCTGTCATTGGTGAAAACAAAATTGAAATGGCAGAATTAATCAAATTAATAGCCAAACTTTGAACAAATAAGTAGCCAAAATGTGAACTTCACAAAGCAAAAGGAGGCATGGGATTAATGTCCAACAAAGTGTAAGATCATGACATTCAAAAGTGCACACTTGCATGAGCCATTTTTCGACACGGTTTTATGGATTTCATTGGTGAACATTTCACTTACTGATTTCACAGCGGTCACCACTGAAGCCAGGAACACAGGTGCAGGTGAAGAATCGTAGCATATCCGAGCATGCTCCATTATTCAGACATGGTGAACTGTAGCAATCATCACCATCTAGAGTAGGTGAGAATGTATATGGTACATGTATTGAATTTGACGAGGTAGATTGTCAATTTTTTCCACATTACTCCAGAACTAGCTTCATCTTTCTTAGCTACTATGGCAATATTTAATAAGCTCTATGTCCTGACGCCGTACTACAATGTTTACTGCAGTGCATCACGGGATACAATGGGGGTCATCAGTGCACACATTGCCATGCATACATTACTATGTTATAAGCATATGAGTGCATTTCAAAAAGACATTTTTTTGTTTTGTAACCATTGTTTAAAATCTTAAAACCATCAAGTTACCATGCACAATTAGAAACGGTAAGACTGTAACTGAAACTTTTATTCTGATTGAATGCCAACCACACCTGTGCCATTTCCCTTGCTAACGGCATACAACGGCCATGTAGACCACATGAAATGACTCCTTAATCTATCCCACCATGCACTGTGGTAAACCCTGATTCATCATCAGTTGGAATTTGAGCTATTGTTTTTAGAATGCATCTCAGCTTTACAAACAAAAGAATACAAACTTGCACTTGTGAACCATATCAATTACTGATCTGGATATTTACTCACCAGCACTGTACTCTACACGGAACCCTGGTCTCCCTATGTTAACATCTGTGGTTAACAGGAGCCAGACCACACCGGAATCATACGTTAAGGTCCGAGGAACACTGGTTTGATTCCCTGTCAGTGATTCGTTTGCTTGGTTTATATCAGCAATGTAGCCAACTCCAATATCCAAGTAGTCCTTGGGGGCCTCCAAGCTCACATTGGTGAGCGTTATTTCGATGCGGTTGGCTCCGTGGGGCCGTATCTGGTAAACACAATTCAGATTGTCCCCATAGTTGCTTGGGTAGTTGGGGCTGGTGATGATGCCCGTAAAAGCAGAATAAGAGGCCCCACAGGCAGCAGCTATTGGGAATGACAAAAAAAAATTCAATTTTAGGGATGCTTTATTTGTTTTGATCATTTAGTTTGTCCCAAAAGTCATTAAACAAAGAGTTTGTACACAGTTAATCACTGAAGCAAGTCTTATTTGTTTCCTGTGATGTTCATAAGTACAGATAATTTATATCTCTGCTTAAAATAAAAATGCTATCAGGGCAAATTATTGATTTTTTGACTGAACTTATTCAGCTACAGTTAGCTGCAGTTGAAAACCAACCAACTTTGGGTGACAAGTCACTTTTGGTTGTAATTGTATTGGTTGTGTTTGGTTGTAATCCATCTTTGAAATAGTCACTTTTGGTTGTTTGCCTGGGTGATTCGTAGTCTTTTTTATCACAAAATTTTGTATAAGACAAGCCAATTTACCTGTGCTAACCTAGTACAGGGCATTCTTAAAAATTACATTTGTTCATAATAGCCACAGTTTATGCGTAACAACCCTAAGGCATTAAAAATGATTTAAACTTGACACTTTCAAAACAAACCCTTTTTCTTTTGAGACCAATTCTGCAAGGATCAACATGTTATTCCCTGAAACTATAAAAGGCTCATTCAGAGCTAAATGTCAGTACTAAGCCAGAGATTTCAAATACTATCCTAATACATGTAAAGCCTTAGATGAGAACTGACTCCCCATTCATTGTTGTCAATAATTTTACAGGTGTGCATACTCCTTTTAATGACACATCTTCTGCAGTAGGCCTATCAAAATCTGACTTTTCCATTCTCAACTTCAGTCCGTTTTTTCACATTCTTCTCAACTTCAGTCTATTTTTTTCACATCCAGCCTCAGTTTTTGCTAGAGCTTATTTCACAATAACATGATGAACGCAGAAATGTACAAAATGACTGTACAAAAAATCTGTCGATTCTAGCCAGGCAAAGTGCAACACATTCCACAAGTAGACGCACTGTGCTAGAACCAAGCCGAAGGTGAACATTTTCTTTGCCAGATCATGCCAGGATTTGGCCAGTCTTCACACCTCACTTTGTGACTGGAAATTGCTGAATTCAACAGCCAGCTGGTACCCGTGGCTAGTTGGACATTTCCATGATTCTGGGTTATGTTTTGTTACATCGACAATCATCTGTTGAGTATGTGGGGTCCATCAAAGTGATGGAAACTGTTCAAGTGTCTTATTTGACATTTTTTCCTCCCCAGTATTCCTGACAAAAACAGTGTGTTGTCTTGTAGGCCGAACTAGTGATAAGGAGATTTCCTGTAAACTCTCTGGTCGTTGAACACCAAATTCAAGAAGTGTGACATTTTAAATTGATTCACAGATTTCTTGGAATACCAGCACATGTAAGTCTCTGCATTTAATATCCTGGATAAGAATAATAAGGAATGGTGTGTTATGTTCTCAGCTGTTCGCTTAATTAATCTCAGAAATTGATGCCAACATTGGCAAAAGTAGTGCAGCATTCATATTTTAAACAACTACCATAACAACCAATGTTACATATAAAATATAAGTTATTTTGGGGGACCTGTATACCCCATTAATTAATGTGTCCAATTGATACAAAACACATAACCCAACATCAAAGAAAGACCCATTTATGGGGTAAGGTTGAAGAAAAATCTTGATGCTTACATGTACTTTGCACATCACAATTCACTCCTTCATAACCAACAGGACACACGCAGGTATAGTAGCCGTAGTCACCATCAGAGCATGAGCCATTGACGCAAGGGGAACTTGCACATTCTGTGGACACAACAAAAACAAAGCAAAACAAAAATGAGACCAAGAAAATTAAACTTCAGTCACAAATTGACACTCACATATAATATATCTTGATGGAAAGTACTGGTGGCTGCACTCATCATGGGGTGCACTCAGCATGCGCTCCAACCTACGGTCACCAACAAATTAGAAACTAAATCTCCCAAAAGTTAACAAGTACATGTATCTGCAATGATTTTTCTCGGACACAATTTGTCTACAATTTCACACCCTTCCTCAGTGTGTAAAACTATTTTACATGTACATCTCCATGAGGTTAAATGCACTGAAAAATGCACTGTTTTAAACATTGCAATTTTTGTGCCTTCTTGGATAAATGAGGGGTTGTTGTCATTGTGACGTCATCCAGGGAAGACATGGTTCAGTGCACCTGTTAACCCAGACTTTATTCTTTGAAACATTTATGAAACAAAGTTTTGCATGCTTATTGCTCTGTATTTGCACAACAATAAATCACAAATAGAAAAAAATGTTTGGCAAAAACTTACACAATGGAGTAGCTTTTTGTGTACAAACCAAGGTACCATTAAGGGTTTTCTTCCTTGGGTGATGTCACAGTTTTGCTCATGAATAGGCCTATGGAAATATCCATTAGTACAAAAACCAAAAAGCCAACAAATAACCAAAATACAAAAATATAAAAGTGAAACAAAAAGGGATTTGGAGGCCTGTGTTGAAAAATGTTCCACTGCAGCTACCCTTTACAATTTCTAGAAGTTTTGATGGCTCCCTTCAAGATCTTAAAACTGACCCTCTAGGGTTACTTCTCCCTTTTTGGTACTCTTGAATTTGCCCCTTATTATTTTGGGATAACTACTGACTGCCTCCCAACCAATGTTACAGCTCTGACATATAATATAACGTAGCACTTGCTTTCAATGCCATATTTTTGTATCCATAATCAAGTTTGTGGAAGCACTGACCTTAGAATAATTTATGCTGAAATGCGTAAAAAGAAATTAAAAGGAAATGCTTCCCCAAAACCCACAGGTCAAATTTCATGGATAGCAGTTGAACCAGACAAATGTAACTAATAACTGTATTCATGTCTACACACAAGAGTAAGACTGAACAATCTAATTTAAACCCTCATTATCATTATACAATTGCATTGTGAAAGTGGGTGGAACAGGATTGCTTTTAGTCCCCGTCTGTTTTTAACTGTACAGAAACACCTGCATAGTCCTTCCAATAAGGTATATTAGTTCACACATTTTGGTTTACAAGATCAGTACACTGCACCCCCGGCAATGAGACCAGCGAAAAAGGAAAGAGGTAGAAATATTTAGTGATCGACCCACATCTCAGTCGCATTGTTCTAACTGTATTAATTTGATAGAGTTAAGAGTCCCATACACGAACATCGCTTGACACCTTGTACACAAACCTAAGTAGGGCCTAAATTCCACATCTTCCCTGCTAAATTTGGCATTATATACTTCAGGGAAAAATTAGTAATGTCCGTATGTCGAACTCTATGTACCTTGATTAACTGTCATTAGTATAAAATATACCGTGTTCATTGCCACAAAAATAACCCTTGGGCCATAAGAGCGCATTACAAGCAGTTGCTGAAAAAAAGACCGCTTCATTTTGAGTCATGGCAACGGCGTCCCCTTGGCAACCACACACAAGCCGTCAACACCCGGTGGCCTACGCTGTTGTTTCGTTTCTATTCTGGCCACATGTTAACGGGCATCAGATGTGAGTTAATTCTCGATTACTCGTATTCTTCACTGGTTTATCTGGAATTCAGCAAATATGAAATTTATTTCCTGACAGGCACTTTGCCATGTTCACGTCGAAACAAAAAATCTGTTGAAGGTATCGACTAGCCGTCATTAGACATAACATTACCTTTGGTAGTATAGTGTATGTAACTGCTTATGTCATTTTTCCCAATTCCCATGGTTTCATGAATTCATTAGTCTTGGGTTTTGGGTCAGATTTCAAATTTATCAAGCAGTTCAAGGCCGTGACAAAACAAATCGCAGATGCATAACAACGGCAGCACAGTATCATCTTACTTTCGGAGCCGTGAAGACAGACAAATGTGCATGCACCCGCTACTGAAATGCCTGCTACTGGCTTTACGCAAATTTTATTCCGGGTGGAATTTTACTGGAGTTTCAGTATAGAAAACAACCTCTCAGAAGTGTGTGTAGTGTACGTTTTCAATTTAAAATCTTCTTACAAATACACCGCTCAAAGCCTCTCGCAAAGGAACCAGTGTAAAAAAAATGGAGGGCTGGTTTAGAAATCGACCAAATTCCTCTCCACGTAAGGTAAAGCCTATCGGCTAACAGGTATTGTGCACATCCATCGATTCCTTTGGATGGGGGAAATGTGGATGATATTAAAAAGTCGGTCAGACGCAAACAACACAGCATAATTTTCAAGGACGCCGGTCAAAAATACAAATTTGTTCCTCGTCATGTATATATGGGTATATTATTTATGTCCTGTGTAGATTTCTGCTCTTTACAAAATCAGATGTGTTGTTTAAATTTTGGATGTCTTTGCTACGAATACATTTACAGCAATCAGCTGAGCAAAGGCTTTTCGGGGCGGGACAATTCAAAGTTTTGAAATTTAAACTTGCCTTGAACGTATTCCGACACTCCCAATACAAGAAAACAAAATGAAATGTGTTGTTTGAAAATCGCAAAATAAGTTTACTTGGACACTGTTTCCCTACGTTGCCCCTCCTCATTTTTAGCCGGGATCACACTCAACTGAAATGTACCCATTAGCCACGGAGACTGCTGATCTGCTTGAACAACTTGATAGATATTTCGCCAGAAACGAGTTCGATTTTTTTTTTCTAAGGCTAGTACATAGTTATACTAAAGCAACCACCCCCCATTAAAAAAATCCTAGCTCTGTAACTAACATGTCGGTCTACTTAAAGGTTTAGTGTCTTTAGCCTCCCCCCATGCTCTGGCAATGGCCCGGAGTATGTCTGTCGAGTCGGATCATGGCCATCTTGGTGGGTACGAAAATGTAATATCTAAGGTGAATATATGCTCCAGGAATTCAAGAGAACATGTTTTACCGTTAAGGGCGTCAGTCTTATGAATTAATAGGCTCAAGGTCGCCAAGTGAAACAGGAACGAGGCTACCAGGTAGCGGGAGGGGATTGGTTTGACAGCGTGAATCCTGTAAGGTGGCGATGGAGGTACTGCTCCAAATCTCAGTCTGTGATGGCCAGATATCCACGGTCCATTTCGGCGGGAGGAAAAGTCAACGGGGGCCATACTCTTTTCCCACAAAATGTGGGGTTGGAGTCGTTGTACGGTGGGCAGAATTATGAAGATCGATGTCTTGTCAAAATAAGTTTCTCAGAACGAGGAAAAACAGTTATACGCAGCAAACGAAACCAATTCGAAATGCAGCCGTTTTCAACTGGAAAATGAAGTGTTGTCTGCAGTTGTATTCTGTTTATTTCCCGTTCAGAGCTTGAGTGAGAGCCGCTCAGTGAAGCCTGACCGCTTTTCAATGATTTTAAAGTGAGTCGGTGTCGTGGATTTGCTCTTCGTGAAGTCCAAACGGAAGGCAACAAAACTATATCATTTTGCCATCTCTCCTTTCACAACATCCCACGCACTACATTCTCCTTACAAAACTCCTCGCATCTGTTGAAATCGCCTCCTCATCTTCCGGCGGCTCGTGTGAAATTCCATCAAACCCAAATCCTCCATTTTTGTCACAACGTAGTCCTGCATTGTGTTATGACGACATTTCAAGTTGAGCTCATGGTAAATATGCATCTTTCGTTACTTTTTCCCCTGCTTTCCAACGCTGCTGACCAGAGTATCGCCTGCACAAACTGGTTCGAGTCTTGGAATATGCTCCTCCCCGCTATCACTAATGTGAATCTGCGATACGGTGAGACGCTGCGTTACTCCAATACATCAACGCTTGATGCAATTAAGTGCGATGGGTCCAGTGGCTTTGTGTTAGTTCTGGCAATGGCCGATACACCGAGGTACACAAGTCTCACCTATTACGAACATGGCTGCGAATGGTTAATTTAACATCAGCCAATTTACCTCCCGCCAAAATAAATAACCATTTAGTTTCATGGGTGGTTTTCCTCAAAAGGCGGCAGCATCTTGTGCACACAGATATGCGGCATCATACCCCATTAGCAAGCACAGTGCCTGATGACAGCCTCCCGATGCCCGGCCTTGGCAAGAGAAAATATGATGATGGTGTACGGAAAGCAATACAATTGACAAAACGCCAAGAGTTTGCACAACCGGCTTCTGGGTTAGTAATAATCGGTTGGAATGAGTCAGGCTGCCGCCGGTAGGTCTGCGCACTGTTGCTGTCGACTGAGGGAACCGCCTTGTGCCTCAGCAACAGGCGGTAATTCACCATGGCAACCACGCCAACGGCAGGCGGCTGTGATACATCAATTCGTTTGTGGATGATACAATTTGTATATCACTGGCACCATCGGCAGTGCGTTGAGTTCATTAATGAACGAGTCGATCGTTGAGCATTGGAGTTTTACAAGGGTAGGCCTACCTTCTGGAAGGAGGTTATTGATGTTTTTAACATCGAAATTGGGGGTGATGTAGATGCATGGCGGGACATGCCATAACAAGTTGTTCGGCGCAAATCCTTAAGAATTTCGACTAAGGTGTACATCTTCGACAGAATCATGTAAGCCATGCTTAGAAAATCTGTGATTAAGGTAATCTGTAGCGTAGCAGGGACAAAGGGGCTTAAATCAGAGTGACGGGTCGCAATGGGATGGAGCTTTCTATAAACAAAAGCAAGCGCTAATCGAAGCAATTAAGTTGAGACCTGAAAATGGACTGTAAATGTAACGGCGGGACTATGAAAACAGACCCTACGCAACTACAAACTTGGATGGCATGGTCAAAATGGTCGATAAAAAGGTCGAATTGTTTGTTACAAACGCGTTCCTACATCTACCGTTGTCTTCCCAATGTCTGCATTGCCTTATTTTGTAACTGAACCCAAATGGGTACGGGCAGACCCAGACATTTCTTTCGGGGGGGGGGGTCAGCCCAGCAGATGTTTTCTTAATATCCATGATATGGACAGGTGGACAAATACGTAATGCATTACGTTGTTACTGATGTACAAGTAATAACCCTCGCGTGGTGCCACCTTTTTTTAATCAATATACTATAAATGTTATTTCACATATTCAGAGGGTGTTCACAGGTTTGGACTAGCTTTTTATACCCCGTTTACTGCCGAGGTTCGAACTTGAAGGTGCGGAGTAGAACAGCGAGGAGATGTGCTGTACAGCAAATGGTACTATAGGCGAAAAGCTATAACTCTATCCCCCTCCAAAATGACGTATTTTGAGTCAGAATTCCAGACTTGTTGTGAATGTGGGGAACTTCCCGACTGTACATCGGTAATGAGGTATAGAGTCAGACTTCTGCTTTTTCCAAAACGGCGAAATTTAGCCCCCCCCCCGTGTCGTGTGCAAACTTGACACATGGAATTTTGTTCCTTTTCCTTTTGTTAAGCACACAATGTCGAGGCCTCTGGAAAACCAAACAGTAAACCTCGCGGGCTTACAGACTCATATAATACAGACATATTTTCTCGGATTATTCAAACAACAAAACGCTCTGGGGCGCAACTTTGCAATCATTAAAAGGGACAGATCAAGGAATATTTCCAGGGTCGGTCAGGCCTCCAAGATTTTCTTATATCAGATTGTTGCGGACAGGCAGACACATTTTACTTGTAATTTATTACAATATTAGTAATGTACAAATAATAACCCTTGTAGGATGTCATCCTTTTTTATTACAACTCTGATTTTAATCATCTGTTTGGGGAGGATGTCGGGGAGAGGACCCAGGATAATCCATTCCCCTCCCCTCCGGATCCACGCTTGGTTCGCACGTTCGCACGGTCTCAAGCTCAATTAATTAAAGGCATATAGGTGGCAAGTTTTGCCGCGCCTCTTTGGCCTTGCGTAATAGTCACCTACCGCCCACGTGGTTTTCATTCATTAAAAAGGCATGACTACTTTACGGTCAAGGTTACACGTCATTGTTACATCGAAACTGGAACTTTTATCAAATGAAATCAGATGTCACAAAATTGAGATTAATTAATTTTTCTCCAAGCCCCTCCTTCATGGACGGCTCAAAATTACTCTAGGGTGTCGTGCCATCACAACGAGAATGACCCACATTTTGGGTGGAAGCAACCTTACGTCTTTGGATGTATATGATTAGATAAGTGAAAGCAGTGGATTTGTACGTGTCTTTTAGGCGTTTATTTATGACATTTTATTAATAATTGCGCTGGAATTCTTTCAGATTCAATTGATGTTTCCTCCTCCACTTCTCCAAATTCCAACCAGTGCAAACTCATTTAATTCAAGTAAATGTTCACTCCTTCCGAGTGTACCTGGGAACGGACACAAATTCTAGTGAAATTCACTGGATTGTGATTTCACTCGAGTTCAGACAAGAGTGGCAAATTGTTCGAACCCATTTCAGTCTAGATTGAAATCCATCTAGTCCCTAGGTCCCTACTCTTTATGCACCGCGGCCGTGAGTTTGGATGCCTCGCGCATCAGACACAGCTGAACCAAGTTCCAAGAAATTGCATGTGGCGTTTTTATAACAACTATTTGGAATATGTTTTACTCATGAAACAAGGCTTCCTTCTTATTTTCTCTACAAAAACTTTCAGCTCTACTAATACGTTTTGAAAAATAGTCCAACTAAGGCCGTGTCCGAAACGGGCTTCCAGAGCTACGGCTAGGTCTATTGTCTATGCGTCTCCATGCATTTCCAATGGAGTGACGACCTAGACCTAGCTCTAGACAAGAGATTCGGATGCAGCCGAAGATCTGCCATGGAACACAATGGAATCCTGCAGTGCAAACGGTGGTACCTATTGTCAATAGTTCTGTATTTGGTTCCGTACAAGTAAACATCTCACATGCCTAAACGTTGAAAAAAAAAACATGCTGCAAAGGTATCATACTGTAGAAACTTTTAGGCCAGATTGACCTTCTGTCTGTCCAGTCGAAAAGAAAACTCCAGTGGGTCGAAACTAACGTTTTCCGGTTCTTTAGTATCCAAAACGTATTCTTTTTGACCCGAGAAAAAAAGAAACCGAGTTGGGCTTGATTCAGATCGCACAATCTGGCCCACACGTTTTGAGAGTGCGCTTGTGAATTACATTGGACGATAAAAACCACCAAGTTGAAAACAGGAGCGGTTGTTAATTTAGAGGGGATGTTAGGGAGGGAAGCGGGACATATTTTAAAAAAGTAAAGTAAAATTGTCGGCACCTTCAAAACGTCTTGCATTTTGTAAATTCAGTCATCATGTTACTTTGGAACCTACCCAGCTACTTAAGGGCAAGGTACATGTGCGTAGCAGCAATAAAGCTTTTTCTGGACTAACCTTCAAGAGCAGATCCACTCAGGCACAAATTTTCAGGGGTAATTAAACTTTTCTTGGGAGGGGAGAGAATTTTTCATGTAACCTTTTATGGCCGTTCTTAGGGACGAGGCTGCATTTTGGGAATTTTTACCCACTTCTGGCAGGGTGAAAAAGACCAAAAGGAAAGAGTTCCGTACACGGACAGCGCTAATTTTCCTCTGAAACGTTATAACGCCCATCAGAAAGTGAAAACATATCCTTAAAAAAGTGAATTTAGCTAAGAATATGCCGAAGTATTTATTTGGAAAACATTTTTTTTCCAGATAAGTCCCATAGGTTGCACAGGGCCTCAAGTGTTGTCTGTATATGGAACTCTTTCCTAATTGCGGAAGCAATATCATCAGATTTTCAATCCTTTAATCAAGGACAATTTTTGACGTCCCCACCCCCTCGTACAAATGACGCATTTTCTGAAAACATGCCTGGTGAGTGAAAATTTCCCAATCTCCACCGCCACAAGGTGATGGATGCAAATTTTTTTTAATTAAAAACTGGTAAGTGAACGACTCTTTGTTTCATGTTTTACGATTTAGTCGAAATGTCTTTAAAATTACTGGCGCGAAATGCTACAGCGGCAAGGCGGTAAACAAAATAGGCCACACAACCTACCGTTAACAGCCAATGTTCCTCCTGTCAGTAAGGTGGCAACCGCAACCACAGTCAGCAATAATTGCTTCATCGTCCACCCCTGGAAGTATCAACTTCCCTCCGTGGAAAACTACGTCTATTTACTTTCTCGTATTAATAGGCCTACAATCCGCCGGGAAGTTATTTGATTTCCAAGATATTCCAAAAGCAACCTAATGGGAAGCTAAAATTCCACCAGGTGTGCGAGTGTGTGTGACCCGATCATGTAATTTACGGCGTCCTCGTTCCCTTACTCAACCGGTTTCTGCCTTCGTAACACCATCCCTGTGTACTTTCAAAACAAGCATATTTTAAATCCACACCCGTGTGCCCTGACGAAATTTATTAGCCTGGGCTATATGAGTAGATCATAAACCTCGTGCTCATTTCGAGCCGTTACCTCGACCCAAACGCTACCCACTCTCGACTCACTGCGTCGAGTGGCTTGAATAGGATACCGAGTGACTAGTCAAGCGTGTCTGGAAGAATAGTCCAGTTCCCAAGCCGGGCCTTTCCTGGCCTTTCACTGTTTGCCTGGCTTTGAAATATATGGCATGTGGTATGAAAAGACATATGAATAGGGATGAGATCATCGGGCGAGGCTTGCAATTTTTGTAAGGCTCATTCTGTTAATGGGCGCCGTGGTTCACAGTCGGTTCAAAGGGAAGTAGAAGAAGACCTCTGTGGTAAAAGTACCAAAAGAACCATTGACTTTAAAATTCGTTGGAACCAAACTCTCGTTAAAAGTTTCTAGATGTCCATCTGGCGATAGGTGACAACAAAACATTCCTCTTGCTGCAAACCAGAACTAAAACATTGGTGCCTTTTGTGATTATTTAGTCGGCTTGTGTTAGTTTTTTTTTCCGGAGCGCAAAATCTTTTCATGCATTGCATTGTCAACATTGTATTCCAAACGTAGCAAACCTAGCAGGTTTCAGCCACATTTCAATAAATGAAAAGGTCATAAAAGTCATGATTTCGTGACTACACAATCAGAGCACGATCGCCTATAAATGTGGGGGCTTTACAAGGATACATGGCCCAATATTCTATGGATTATGGGGGAATGGGGTTAACTCACCCCAAGCCGAGTACACGTACCCTCCTTATTTAGCCTCCCTTCCAATTCCCCAGCAAACCATACATTAGGAGGATGTCCCACGCCTCAAGATGATCAAATGTGTAAAAGAAAGATGAGTCAATGCCAGAAACTTTTAAACGCCTAGCTTGTCTTTACATCCTCCAGTCAATCGTACTAAAGCCTAAATTAAGTCTCTTTTCTTTCGCGGGGTTACATGTCATGTAATGTCGTGTTGTGTTATGATCCATCTCACTATATGTATTAAAACATAAGATTATCCATATTTTATTACGTCTAACACAATGTAACTGGGGACCTCTACCCGACAAGCAATGCCTAATATTTAGGGGTCTCCATCCATATAGACTATTGTCTTCCCAATTATCATATTATGTATCGTGTGGAAAATAAACTGAAGGTGATGCAAGCCTGTTTTTCTTTTTACTGAGCATGCCAAGTCGTCTTTTTATCCAGCATTTCGCGTAAAAAAAACAGGAATCGCAACGTGATTAAGTAGCAGAGAACCAATCTGTCACTGAAATTGAAACTCCAAGAGGCAGTGGGTCAGAAGTTTAAGTAAACATTGCGAAACCTCTCCTTAAAGCAACCGCTGAAACGAAAACCCACGCATCCTCCGTAGGACGTATTTGAGACAATCCGCGGGAACTGCATCTGATAGGGCCAATTGGATTCTCAACTTCATATCTAGCAGAACCTATATCCGGGATATGGTAATACTCTCGTGCTGTTTGCTACTAAATGGGTCAATTAACTCATCTCTTTACTGTACTTGTCATACCACAGCAAATAGTGAACGCGGTTATTAAAAGAGATTTATCAAGGATATTTTTAGTTGTTCTGGTTCAATAGATTACACTGAATAAACTTGAAATTGAAAAGTGCATTTACCGTGGTTTGTGCGAAAGGCTGTGAATTATTGGAACGTTGTGAACGGTTGGTCGCGCAGAACACTGAAGCAAAGAAAGTAACGTGTCATATACGATCGTGTTGGCTTCATAGGCCAGTCTACTCAGTCAGTTAGATAATCAGATGAGATCTGAGGCTTTTCATGGTGGGGGTAGCAAGTAAACTAGATATAGGTTTGCGGTAGCACCATGGATATATCTTCTTCTTTTTTTCTTTTCTTTTTTGAGTATGTAGGGTTCTGAAAAACGTTGAGTACCACCGGTTCTTCTCAGAACCCCGCATACTCAAAAAAGAGAAAATCCATGGTGCTACCGCAAACCTATCTAATTTACAGTTAGATGATATAAATGTCAAAAGCCAATTTCCCTCAATTCCAATGCTGGGCTTCAAGTTACAAACGTTGAGATTTTGATTACCCCGAAACGCTTTAATTTGATTCCGTTCTGTTTGGGGTTTTAGGATTTGGTTTAAAGTGTGGATCTATCACCAAGTTTTCCAGTATCTCCAATTAATCTTTTGGAAGAAGAAATGATTCCAAACAGGTAATCCTTTCCAAAACGGACGTTAAATTCTAACAGCAGCAGATATAGGCCTATATCGGGTTAACGGTTAACAAGTTAATTCGTAACTGACCAGCAACTCACCGATAAGCTTGAGGACTCATGACCGCTTTATTGTTTCTCTCTAAATTAAAACAAATCAACGCTCAAGCGACTGAGTGTACTAACGTCTATGGAAGTCACCTTAACGACCATGCGAGTAAATACCACTTTATTCCGATAAACCCTCGTGTTTCCACGGCAACGCATGTCCTAAACGCCGTTTTGAAGACTGATAAGTACCCTCTTCAGGGAAAGTGTTTGTGGATACCTTGGACGACAAGATGAAATGAGTAGGGCCTATTGTGGTTAGGAGTGCGACCACAGCGATCGAAGAAGGCGTGTGGGGGAATGCGATGCTTCGTGGGGATTACAAAGGGAAACAAGCGCGTATAGTATGGCATGAGGGGCCAACGAGCTGCAAAACACTATACAACACTCGAACCGAATACGATGGGGGAATGATGAATCTATCGAAAGGGACAACCTAGCTAGATCCTCGTGGCTACCTTGTCTTTGGACAAATTTGACATTGGTCTAAATTGAGATGGCAAGTAACATTTTAAGTTTTATGTACAGTTTATTTGTGTCAACAAATCGAGCAACATACGCATATCAGGTTTTGAATCATTTGGAATTGCACAAAAAATAGAACCCTACTTGCATTAGACAAAGAAATTGGTAACTTATCTCATATTTTGTACAATGTACATTAATGTAATATCTGTTACACCACACAAAGGCCTGAACTCAGCTGATGACCTCGTATGTTGATTGGTCAGGTACAAATGGTACCTGTACTTTCCCCACAAAAGAATAAATTACAAAGGAACAAACTTGAGTAAATTTAAATACCTCGGGAGTCTTGGAAATTTGTTGAAAAATCAATTCCAGGTACCTGCATTGGCACCATTACATATTTAAGTAATGTAATTAAATTTACAGTCCAAATTGCATTCCCTTGTGGTTTATATGATACAATTATTATTACAACTACAGAAGCACTGCCCAGTAAACTCACCAACTTCACTCAGATTTTCCTACACAAAATGTCCATATAATGTTTAACCAGTTTCCAATGCTTTAAAGTCCTCATATATATATTTTTTAAAAAGTTTTACGTCGTTCCAATCTAATGTTAAAAAACAAATCAGTTAAGAGCAGTCTTTTGCCCGCACAACCCTAATTGGTTATTAAAACAAGCCTGGCAGAACACTTTCATGAGAAGTATGTGTTAGAGTTTAGATCATCATGTCCCGTGAGACTTTAAAATAAGAAATATTAAATAATGTGTGATAGAGGTGTTACTTCTTGTCCGACAATTTGAAGGGGTTAAAATGTATTTATGAACATATTTATTTAGAAAAGAAATCAGTTATTTAGAAAAAGTAGATAATTTTCCAAGACTGAAATTGAAAACTTGGTCTTTAACTGCACTTCATATATGTACACTTTGTTGACTCACTTAAGAAAATGCCCATAATAGTTTACTTCTATTGTCACCCAACCAGTGGGGCTATGCACTAATCAGTCCTACAATTTTCACGTATTATGTAAACTTCAACGTGAATATTTAAACACAAGTAGCAGGACAGTCAATTGTATCAATATACTATTAATTACAAAATGGGTTATATCTTATTTATACAAACTTAGGACTGAGAAATCTGAAATCTCTTTTAATGTCTTACTCATGTTGTGTGGACTAGATGTTACTCGTTGGCATTTGGTCAGTGCTGACTGGCCAAGGTTCCTCTTGTGTGTTCAGATGGGCAACACTGGTCGTTCTGTAGTGGGAGATGGTAGACCATACTCTTTGATTACCTTTTTATTTTTGCCTTAAAAGTCTGCAGAACCACTCTGAACATTTCTCAGCCTCTACCTGTGTCTGTTTTGCTGCCCTGAGTCACCAGCAGCGGCAATGGGGAGAAGACCAGTGACCCCCCCCACACACACACACAAGTGTGTAAACGCCTTCAATCGTGGACTCCCTATTGTTCCTCTTTTGTTCATAGTTTAACTTTTTTGGAAGACCTCCCAAACGTTTTGTACACGTTTTCCAACCGTGGACTCTTCGGCAACCGTGGACCCTATTGTCCCCTATTGTTACAGGGCCACGATTGAAGGCGTTTACACACTCACACACACACACACTTTTTTAACTGGGGGACATGCCCCCTCCTTTTTAGCACATCCCATAAGGGGGTGCGGCTTAATTGATTGGTCAAATAATGGCTGATGCCTCATTGTCTTACAACTGCCCCCTCCACACACTCTGAAAACCATTTCACCACTGTTGCCCTAGGTATAGGTATAGGCTAATTCTGTGATTTGATCTTATTTTAAAAATCCTTTCTGGATACAGTGTCGATGCCCACAGATGAGCTTCTTTACTACTAGGAAGTTCTTATCCATTGATAGTAATATGCCTAAACTAATTATTAAAAAATGGAAATAACTACAAGATTAAGTGTCTTCAAGGCAACAAAAAGCCAGAGTCCTTCTGGAGTTACTTGTTTGCTTTGTAAGAGACCACTTCAACAGATTTCAAAGGACACAAAGTTGCCGAGCGGGTAAAATGTTTATTCAGACTCACTGACCAAAGAAATCACAAGGATTCTAGCTGCCGATAGCTACTGAATTTAAGCTTAATGAGTGGTTTTGCCGAGTAAGATGATTTCTGCTCAGGGGCTGCATGATTATAATGAGCTCTATGCTCTTTTGTTAGTGACGTCACTTACCCTGGGGGCGGCACAAGAATGTTACCCATCTCCATGCCTTGGCGTTCCTGGAATCGTATGTTGTCCTCGTAGTCACTCAGGATGCGGGACTTATCCTCAGAGTATCTACAATCAAAGTTTTTCATGCAAACAATAAACCTCTTTACAAAAATGTGTGAAGTTCACGGACATGCCTTAGATTAATAGGCAGTTATTTCATTCGAAGCATTAATTACACATCAGAGCTAAAGTGAAAAAGAAAAAAATTGATCAAAATCATATTCCCCAGAAGAAACCTAGACTGCTTTGAAAAATAGAATACCATGTGTCGGAATGAAATGAAGTAACTTGAACCAAATATATACAGAACTGGTCAGCAAAAATGAAGGTCAGTTGGTTTGGCTGAGACCAGCTGAGTCCACCTTTGCTCAGTCCAACCCAATTCATCTTTGCCCAATGTGGCTCTCTCCATCATAGAGAAGCCAGACAGAGATTCCTCCATCCAAGTCTCCAAAAGCCTAGCCTTTCCTTCTCAAGCCCTCCTAAGTTCAATTTTGCCAACCCATGCAGCGCTGGTGAGCCAAGTTCACCCAAGCACTACTTAGCTCAGATCAGCTCTGCTTACTCATCCCAACATAGCAAAGATTATTAAGCCCTCAGCCCATCAGCTTAGCCCAGCTCAGCCCATCAGCTTGGCCCAGCTCAGGGTACCTCACCTAGTTCAGCCCAGTCTAGCCTAGCCTAGCCTAGCCTACCAAGCCTACAAAGCCCAGCTTAGCTCAGTCCCTTCTACACAGCCTAGCGACATCCAGCCCAGACTAGCTGAACTCAGCCAAGTCTACCTAGCCAAGTCCAGCCCAGCTCAACCAACCCTACACAGCCTTGCTCTGTCCAGCCTAGCCTAGCCCAGCTCCGCACCCACATGACTCCACTCACCTGTCGTCATACTTCTTCCAGGACCTTACAACAACAAACAGCAGCAGGAGAAGCAGCAGCAACCCCAGGATGATAATCAGGATGATCCATCCCACTCCAAGTGAAGTGCCATTAGTGCTACTATCTGTGCTATCGGTGCCTGTATTGCTGCTCAATCCGGCATTATTGGGATCTGTTGAAGAACAAAGATGTACGTGTGTAACGTTTTGTCACCATTTTCACAAAGAGACAAATTTGGCCACAAAACACTCCCTTTTCACAGAAAAAATCAACTACTCTCTAGTGCTGATATCTTGGGGGAAATAATTTCCACAAAATCTATTCAAATCAACATAGTGTGTCAACACAGTTAAGGTTATGCACATTGCCAAATCCCTATACAACAACTTTCACCCATGGATGTACATTTTAAACTTTGTTGCTCTACGTAAACTTTGAAACACCACCCTCAATCGACACTATTTGCAAATTTATAGCTCGAAGGCTATTTCTACGAAAACTGGTCTTGAAACTCAGTGAGTTGTTCAGTGTCAGTGTCTTGAGATGAACATATCATGGTTCCCTATAATGAAACTTTCAGAGGCACTTGCATGTACAATTGGTTTTTGTCAACATTTCTGGCAAAACTCTGGCAAATAAAACTTCATGAGTTGACCTTTCATGTAGGCTATTTGCAACTGACTTCCTGTTAATGTATACAAATGACCTTACGAATGTTAAACTCTGTAAAAAATATATAGAACCGTGTAGTCGTGAGTTCACGCATACACAGACCCAGACTTTACAAATTTCTGGTCACGACCTCAGAGCTCGTAAAGTCAATCAGTTATGTTCCACAGAACTTTACCAAGTCTTCCTGGGTGATCTCATCTAGAAATCTTACCCGAGATGTCACAGATGATTCCTGAGAAACCCGTTGAACAGATGCAGATGAAACCACCGTTCACATCCAGGCAGGTGGCACTGTTAAGACATGGGTTGCTGGCGCATTCATTGATGTCTGATGTAAAAAAAAATGAGCAAGGGAGTGGGTTAGAAACCTGAGCCAGTGAGATTCACCAGGTCAGTGCTTAAATGTCTTTGGTACTGGCAGCATTGATTTCTTATTTTCGACCAGAAGATTTGAATTTGGACAAATACAATATAGAGGGCAAACTTTTGGTACACAGATAACTGCAAAACAAATAATGATTTTCAAGAGTCATTTAAACAGTATTTCTGAGATGTTCTTGACATATCCTCATGATATCTCCCTTTTTAGTCTAGTTGTGTACCCTTGGCTTCTCTAAAAACCTACTTCAAGGACGGTGAATTCATGATAGCTAGATCTTCATCCACGATAAATCTCATCAAGAGCGTGCATCTTGCAAACCATATGGGCTTGAAGTGAGAACAAGGAGACGATCATTCATGTGTGATAGAGGTTGATGGTTCTACACCATGTGAAATATCTTTTCTGAGTATGTGGGGTTCTAAAGAAGTGGTCTCTTCAAGCCTTCTCCAACTCGGTGTCCCTTCAGTCTTCTGAGGATGGGCCATGCCGTTGGAAACATTGAGTCCACCAGTTCATGTTGGCACCTACCACACTCACAAAAAGAATCATATGTGGTGTTGCAAACCAGTGTCTAATTGCAACAGCTACTGTCACTCACTTATTTCACAGAATTGGCCCTCAAAGCCACGCGGACAGATGCAGTTGTTGGTCCCAAAGCAGACGCCTCCATTCTGACAAATGCAGCCTTGGATTGCTGATGAGAAAGCACACATAAAAGACCAACTTTGTGGTAAACGTAATGAGTGCCACGGAAACGAATTTGACTGGATAATCTGTGAGAAACCCAGGATTAAATCATGCCATTATTTGTGGTAATACAACCATTTCACAATGGTGCGCCACCAAGAGTTTGCAACGTGTTGGCCAATTGCAGTGTGCGAAATCTGTCAACCTAATGCACGTTTGGAAAAGGTTTGACATCTTTCGCGTGTTGTGATCGGCCAACGCATTGCAAACTCTTGGTGGTGCACTATTGCGAATCACCCGTATTGGTCAAAGATGCTAAAAGTTTATTTCACTGCTGATTGAACACGTAGGCAACTGATATGTGAAAGAAGATAACATTGTCTGAGACTTGTGGTTGATAATTCTAAAGAGCTTAGGCTCGAGGCTTCCCTGTGGAACAAAACAACTGCCATGCAATGGAATCATGAACAGTAACCAGTTGTGATTTCAAGTGAGATAAGTACCCCTACAATCTAACTCCTTAGAGGTGGATTACCAAGCTGCAAGACTATGTTAACATGAGAGCTTGGAGGCACACATAATCATGGAATTTTCTTTCAATTCGTTACTCATATTTTATCCCTGAACACCACCTTCAGTGGCACCTTTGAAAAGAAGATTTTTATTGAACGATGGTCCCTGGTAAAATACAAGATAACAAAATAATAGGCGAGATTGTGAAGGAAATGCCAGGGTATCATTTTAAAGGAGGGAAATATACCTGTTTCACAGAAAGTGCCGACATAACCATCCAAACAACGGCAGACAACCTGTCCACTGGAGTCATCACAGGTAGCTCTGTTGAAGCACGGTGTTCTTTGACACAGTGTCAAGGCTAGATAACACAAAAGAAATCAGACATTTTCAAACAAAAACATCCCCAAAACAATTCACATGTCCCACTGATATCTATTTAAACGACAAACTGCAGTGCACTTGAAATGTCTGTTACTGTGACAATCACTCACCTATTTCACAGAAGTCCCCTTCGTAGTACTGTGGGCAGACACAGAGGAAAGTCTGGTCGGCCAGATTATAGCAGGTACCACCATTTAAGCAGGGAGAGCTTGCACAAGGATTGCTGGCCGTGACGGCTAAAATGGAGAAAAAGAGAAGAAACAACTCTGGCCAACATTGTTTGATGTATTTTTCATCCTGTTGTTCTGAGAACTTTGCAGCATGAACCAATCAAAAATATCACTGCACTGCTCAATGGACGTGGCCTATGGTGTAGGCCCTCCATTTAAGCAACACTGAGTGAGGGTGATGAACAACAAAGACATAAAATAAGGTCGTGTCTGAATTACTTGGCTTCAGGTTGAAACTGCACACAATGATACGGAAAGTGGCTACAGCCATCACCATAGACTCATGCTCACTTCCAAGCCACAGCCTAGTAATTTGGACATGGCCTACCTATAGACTGGCAATTGGGACATGACAGTAATTTCAGGAAAGGTCACATTTAAAAACCATGGGCAAATTGCAAACTCGTTAAGGCACAACGAAAATAATGCTCAACAATCCTTTGATGTAGACAGATCATAACTAACTTTACTGTTTCTACTGTTTCTTTATCATCTTTAATATCTGGCATCATATGCAGTGTATTCAAACTGGATATCACCAACCAATTCCCATTTGGGTGGACTTACTGGATTCGCAATTCCGCCCGGTAAATCCTGTTGGACAGTTACAAACATATGACCCATCAGCAAGTTCAAAGCATGCCGCTCCATTCAGGCAAGGATTGTTCTGACAAGGATTTGTGGTGACTGCAAAAAACAGAAGAGAATTACAAAGGAAGCAAGTTTGCTCAAGGTGCCCGGTCTCTAATTACCTCAACACGTAAAATAGGCAAATGAAGAGGACTGTCATTCACGATAGAAACGGCATCCATGTATAACAGAAGGTTCAAAGCATTAAATGTTACAAATCACAATCGAATTTCCAAGCAAGACACAAGTAAGTTTGTAGGAAACGACAAGAAGGGGAGGCATAGCTCTCTCTCCACGGGAAGTGGGCAAACAGCAGCAAACTAACTGTCAATGGCGGAGGGGTCAATTCTAAGGTGTTTTGAAGCAACTTAGGGATTTTCTTCCCTCTCCTCCATTCTTTTGTTTCTTTTTCCCCCGTTTTTCAGGGGGAGGGGGCTCTTCAATCCTCAACATCATCCCAACTGCTGGATCAAATTCAAGTCCTCCCAACTCAATTGCATCATTCAGCAGCACTGAGCAAATTTGATCCAAGTTCTGCTAGAGTAACAAAGGTAGGTTAACTTTTCCAATTCCTAAATTAAGTAATCCCAGGTTAAATCTCATGTGTTCCTGAATTTTCTTTAGGTTCCTGCAGATTGTTTATCGGCACATTTTCTCCTACACCCGCACAGTTTTTATTTTAGACTTGCAAGCTGCAAGAGAATTGGTTGCTTTGCTGAATCTGTGGCTTCACAACCAGTAGAAACTAACTACAAAAATAATGATCCTTATCAGGCAATCTGGTACACACTTACTCGTTTCACAGTTGGGGCCACCACGTCCAGGAGAGCATAGGCAAATGTAGCCATTGATGACGTCACGACATTCTCCTCCAAACTGGCAAGGGGTGCTTAGGCACTCGTTCACATCTAATGAAAATAATTCAACAAGATAATTTCAACATAATGGGAAATACTCTTTGACATAGTGACTTGCAACTTTGAACATTGAGAAAGCCATGTACCTTAAGTGCAGCAATACAAGTAACAATTTTGGGATAAAACCTTTGGCAGATTGGTTGAAGTACGACTCAATCTAACCACTGCCTCCTACAAGTGATTTCAATGTTCAGCCAAAGATCTTTCCAGGTTAGCAAGGATGTCTGAGCCACCAAACAGTTAAAGTCTTATGCGAGGGAGTCATCACCTTGAAATTCAATGCGTCTGCGCACATTTTGAAATGTCCGACCTGCTATCCATGTAATGTAAATAGTTTGACAACTCCAGGCTGCAAACCCAAGACAACTGAATGACTGTCTGTACAATACAGGCGTTTCACAATAGTGCATCTCCAAGAGTTTGCAATGCGATGGCCAATCACAGTGCACGAAATCTGTCAACCCACTGCAAGTTTGGAAAGAGTTGACATATTTCGCGCATTATGATTGGCCAACGCAAACTCTTGGAGGCACACTATTGTGAATCGCCCGTATCACTTATTCAATAACAAGACCGGTGAATAGTACCCTTTTCACATTTCAATGTCAAATCCGGTTAAGTCAGCACGGACATATTTAGTGGGCAGTATTTAATTTAATTACAAATTTAATGGCCAAGTTTCTTTGCCAATGCTTCTTTTCACCCTGTGGTCATAGAGTCTGATTTTAATACCTTAATGTGCTTTCAACTCAATGACCATATTTCTAATTTGCTCACTTTCTCATCTTCTGATGTGAATTGCAGATTGATAAGCTGGTGACATTTATGTATTGACAAGTTCACTGTCACATGTAAATTTGAAAGAGATAATAATAGCTAACTCACTTATTTCACAGTTATCTCCACTATATCCAGCCGGACAGACACACATTAGGGTGTTAGGGTTTCCAGGCTGGATCACACACATGCCGCCGTTGAAGCAGAAGCTGTCCTGGCAGTCCCCTGGAACAGTCGTTGCTGACGGTATGTCCTCCACCAAGATGGAGAAGCCCTTGTCCGTCTGCCAGAAGTCTGAGGTGAACATGAGCCAGGCAGCCTGGGAGTCTATGACAAATGGAGCCATCAGCCCCGTGCCAGACTCCCGCATGACAACAGAGGTGGGGTCAGTCGGGTCCGTGCCCTGCCCCAGCTGCACCAGGTCCCGCTCGCATTCGGTGGCTAGCTCCTCCACCACGAAGTTCAGCCGGCGGTCAGGGCCCGAGGCCAGGAGGTTAAAGAGGCAGACCAGATTGTCCTGGTAGTTGTTGGGGTAGTTGGGGCTGGTGATGCGACGCTGCTCACCCTCTGCCAAAGTGATATTCTCCCCACATGGTGTAGCTACAGGGAAAAGTAAAAAGAACAGTGGAAATTTGCATGTCCGAAAAAGCTAAGGCCAGAATCTGACATTTTTCTCTGAAAGCAGCTATCCGCTCTGACTAAGAAGCAACCCCTCAATGGCAAAGCAAAGACTAACTGCAGGGACACTTTTGAACTGGGTTGGTGCACGCACTTAGCACATACAAAAAGTCCTGTACTTCATAATAGAAGTTGGTTGCTTGTGCTCAGTGCATGCACCAAATGCCCTATAGGCAAGCACTGATTTCCTATCACAGGGACATCACAGTTTAAAAACACGCCATCTTGTTCTCACACCAAGCAGACTGGATGATGACTGAGCTCTTTTGGCAGTGTGAAGGGGTCATTGCCTGTTCCATTTTACTCACTTATTTGGCACTGGTGTCCTGAGAAGCCAGCTAGGCAGGAGCATGTGTAGACAGCATGGAATTGATCATAGATGCAGGTACCGCCATTGGTGCATGGCGAGGCGCACAGAGTCACTGCAAGAAAAGTGAGCAGAATGAAAAATCGAAGGCACAGAATTCAAGGTCATACTGCTAGGCTGTCAGGCTATGAAGACTGAAAAGATATTAACTATGGTAGATAGAATTAGGTAGCTGAAACCTTCCTGCATGAATTCCCAATGAATTGTCTTTGAACATGTTTGGTGCGGCTGCCAGCCAGGAATGGCTCCACAAAACAATGCTGGTGTGATTATCTCCACAACAACAGACGAAAATCCTTCCTTTGATTTAAACAATCATCTCGCAGTTAGTACTGTAGCCAAGTTCAAAATTGAGCCTACCAAAGTTATTGCAGTTTGTTCCCATGTAGCCGTTGGCACATTGACATCTGTATCCATTGGCCTGTGTGGTATCAATCAGGCAAACTCCGCCATTCAGACACGGGTTGATGGTGCAGACGTTGATTACAGGAATCACTAAATCATAACAAATTGAACAAAACGTGTCAGTTACAAAATGTACACAACACAGTTTCATTTTAACTTCACAGCTGAGGTATGTTCGGGGACTGTTAGTAAACTGTACGATTTGACATGTCAATGCTGATGGAAATAAAGTGATACAAATGTAAGAAATCAAGCTCACGCACTACATGGGGTGTGAAGAGCCACGTCAGCTTTGAAGCTTTTTGAGATCACGATATCATCATCTCATTAACTCACTTCAGATGACCCATTTCAGCATTACCTGTTTCACAGAAGGCCCCCGTATGAGTCGGTGGACAGGTACAGATCGTTTGAGTTGGGTTGCCGCTATTAATGGTGCACAAGCCACCATTCTGGCAAGGACTGGAAGCACAGGCCACTGAAATCAAGTAAGAGGCAGTCTTGTTAAAGCTAACCAAGAACAATCGAGCAGGGACCCAATGGAGACATCCCCCCAAAGAATGGAGCAAAAAAAATTATTTGAGATAACGATAAGAAATAAATAACAATAATGGTTTAACTAATGGTGTATTTCATTTTCCATCCTTCCGGAAGTGTGTAAAAAGCCCCCAGATGTGGCCTCATCCCTCACAAAGACCAATAAAAGGTGACATGAAGAAAGGTTCAAATTATTTTGCCCCCAACATTACACAATTCCCATCCCAAAACTATTGTTTTGGTTCCGATCTTATAGCTGACAAATATTGGAATTAATGTAAGCTGTTGTTTTGTAAAGTCCATTTCAACTCTATGCCTCTGTTTTTCCATTAACAGCCTTTGGAACCTCTTGATATAGTTACAGCACCTCTCCTTACAGGATTTATTCAATGAATTATTTTCAGTACAATCCTTGAAATGAGCCTTTGTGTTTCGGTTGACCTTAGTTTCAAATCTGCTCTTCTATTTTAAAAAGTATTGATGCCTTTATTGTACATGATTAATAATGCAAATTTCATATTCATGAGCAGCACTTTGACATCATTCAAGGCAGAAAAACTCAATGTTGCATTGATTGGGCAAAAATTTATGCCTGAAAGTCCGGATGTTTTGCTGTTTTAAATGTCCTCTTCTTTGGTGATTCACAGTTATGCAAGTACAAGCATGGACGACTCTAAATGTCTACAGAGTGCATTTTTCAATACACTTTGTTGGTTGTATCATGAACCGACATATCGTGGATAGTCTCCACACCACAAACTGTTGTATCCTATGTAAGAAGTTTATGGATGGTATGTCACTTTGTGTTGCACCAAAACTATCCTATACATCACTTTGTGGTGAAACCAGTGACTTTATCCCAAACCGATAACAGCAAGTTTGACATAGAAGAACAGCACAAAGCTACAAAAAAGTGCATCTAAACAAAATCACTGCCCAGACCATTTAGGATCTGCTCTTTTAAAGATGATAATAGGCAAAATCACAACTTGAGATTTACCAATAGTTTGGCATCTGTTACCAGAGTATCCCTCTTGACAGGTGCAAGCAAAAACAGCACCTATATTCGAGCAAACTCCACCATTCAAACATGGATTGCTACTGCATGGTGTCTGTGATACTGTCAGAGAACAAAAAGGAGCAAATAAATCTGTTATGTACGTTTATGGTCTTCTTGTATAGCATATACCCTTTCATGGAGTGAGATGTGGGAGACTTTGAGATGCTTGGTGGAAGCAGACAAAAAGGTCCTTTTTGACAGTTCTGGGTAGCATGCGCATTGTTCTGGGCAAGTGCGGCAGTTCTGAGCAAGTACACAACGGAGGAAAAGGACAGTTTGTTAACCTCTACCGAGTGTTTCAAAGTCTCCCATTATAGAGTAGATTCCACAGATGCCACATGCTCAAGATAAAAACAATGTGGACATCATTATACAATACAGGGTAACATCACTTACACTCCTCTGTATCCATTATTGAATCATGTGCATACACATTTAGAGTCCTTCTACAGTTTTTTTTTCTCAAAACCAGGTTTGGGAACATCAACTGTGATGTGCAAGATTTGTCGGGGGGAGGGAGGTTGGGATTTTTTAAATGAAGGCTTTGAAAAGAGGAAATGCGTTTCCCTCTGTGTTTGACTGGAATTCTAGCACTCACGGAATTGGCAGTTGTTTCCACTGTACCCTGCTGGACAGTCACAGAAGTAATTGGCCGGGTTGTTGAAACTGATCATACAGATTCCTCCATTCTGACAGGGGCTGGGGTTACAGGCAACTGCAAATAATATGAGATAGGACACGAGGAGTCAGTAACAAAAACTGCCCTAAATTGCAATCTGACTGAAAAACAAAGATACACAGATATTTGGTTGTTTATCATTGGTGGGCCAAATCCAGCTCAGGATGGCCCCTTTTGCTACAAAACATGAACGTATTTGAGACGGAATATACAAGGTGCATCTGTATTTCCAAAATCTCATGTTCCAAGCTGGTTATTGGTCCCTACCTAATTACGGAGAAATACTTCCTACCAATTCCAACTGACTTTTCAGTGAGTAGTGCGCAAAAGAAGAAAGTACTTTTTTTTAGAGTATCCAAGACAAACGAGCGTATGCTTGACTCACTAATGGTTTCGCAGATGGCACCAGTGTAGCCAGGCAAGCACCTGCATCTGAAGCTGGAGGTAGAGGTGACATCACAGGTGGCGCCATTCCTACACGGGTTGTTACTACACGGTGTGGTCACAGCTGTAATGTTCAATGTTGCAAGGAGATATTTCAGTACAAGGGCGTAACTGACAGGGAGCTATCAAGGACCAATGGTTGACTGATGGTGAGTTTGTATTGTACCTTGCCAGTGCATGTAAACATTGTTAGTTGAAATGAGTGCTAAATGTAATCCCAGCACCATATTGTCCTGGTTTACTGTTGCACATTTTTGTATATATGCCCCTTGATAACCAGTGATTCAAACAGCCTACTCAGTTGTCTGGACCTGTCTAATTGTTGTTGGCTAGCCTTGGTTCAATCAGAGTTCATCAAACAGCTGTTAAGCACGGTCCATGAACTTGCTTCTCATTTGAAAAGCACTGTGTGCTGGATGCGGTTTGAGAATTGTGAAAAAAAAAGTGACAATGTTCAGCCAACTTTATGAATGTAAATTTTCCACTCAAATGCTAAGCTTGCCAAAGTCGGTGGGCCAAGTGAAGTTCAAGATATTTTGGTTAAATACAAAACAGTGACGGGTGCAGCAATCATCAACGGTTTTTGTTGATTTTAATAGGATTTCTTTTTCTGCAAGTAATAATACAGGTGTTGCTCAATCAGTGCTTTAAAAAAAATCACGAAAATGTACCTTCAATGCACAACAAATTCAAGACACAAAATGCAAAATCACATTTGATGTTTAACAGAATTCATCCCATACTTTTTGTAAAGTTGTCCAGATCTGGACTCAATTACACAGCGCCGCTAAGCACACAACTCAATGTTTACAGAGGCTCTGCGTGTTTCATAAAGAACAAAAGCAGGAAGCACAGCAATATTTAGACATGCCGTCCTTGGAGGACAAATTTAGTGACATGACATGAACAGAAAATCTCTGTGGGCATGAAACCATAACCACAACCACACCAAGCACCACCATGAAATTGTTCTTAAGGTTTGCAAATTTGTCTGATATAGTAAGCACAACTTGAGGCTGCTGTTAAGTATCTCTGTGAAATTGGGCCCAGGTCAGTAGTTCAGACTGTGGTCTTGTTTTATTTTGCCGCACAATGTACATGCATTGTGAGTCACTTTTTACGAATAGCAACTCTTTCTCTCTTCAAAAGGTAAGCCAGAGCACAACTTGTCTATGTTTATTGAGACCAACAGTACTCAAACAACTAAGAGTTTGGAATGAATGGCCAATGGTAAAGCTACTTACAGGTCTGGCATCTGTCACCAGTGTATCCCTGGGCACAGGTACATATGGGAACCAGCCTGTTGGCTTGACTGATGCCACAGTTACCACCATTGAGACAAGGATTAGGGGTGCAGACAACTACAAAAAAAAAAAAAGGAAATTGAAAAGTAGCGGGTAATTCACCAATCATTTGTTTGTAATCATGTCGACGGGTAGACTTGATTTAATTTTCACGTATATGTGATTCACATTGTTAGGATTTTGGGATTAAAATGTCCATTTTCCCAACGTGGTCTGCTCTGTTCCAAGGGATCATGTTGTGCCTCCTTTGTGTCCATGCTGTTTTGGGTCTGGGCAATGAGGTTGTTGCCAGACAAAATATGCCTGATGACCAAGGGTAAAATCCTGAAATGAGTCAATGTCATTTAAGGTATGCTCACAGTTCATTCACTCTGACACTGGAAAAAAAAGTGCCTTTCTCAAGAGCTTGAAACATCCGATTGGAAAATCTAGACTGGGCACGTGGAGGTTCCGTTGAATTCTAAAACTCTAGCTGCTGAAAATGGGGATTTCTTGGTACCTTTGGTGCATGCAAATACTGATGGGTACTGAACACAAGGGCTTCAGTTTTGTGCACATTCAGTGGGAAACCTGTTACATGCTCAAATAATCTCACGCTGCTCTAAACAGTTCTGGCACGAAGCCATTCATTGACTACCATTTGATACGACTGTTTACCTATGGTTGAGCACACGGTGCCGGTGTAGCCACTGATGCAGTTGCAGGAGAACGAGCTTGAGCCTGTGACCACACACACACCCTGGTTCAAGCAGGGGTTGTTGGTACAAGCCGTGGGCACGGCTGTGGGAGAAGAAAAAGAAGAGGCTGGTTCACAACGTTTCTTCCAAACTTAGACTGAGAATGGGATTCAAGATTAACTCTGACGACACCAACTGTGTCTCCAGTGGCCATGTGGATCAGAGAACTTGTTGACTGCACACAAGAGGCTTAAGTCCTCCATCTACTTTTCCTTGGCCGATGCCTGTAAGTCGTGAAGTGTTGATCGACAACTCCTACATTCTTCTTGCACTAGCCCAGCTTGGCAAGATTGAGTATATTATTTTTCTTTCAGATTGTTGTGGCTAGGGCACAATTCCATGGCTGTGCTAACCATGAAAATTTTGCATCTAGAATTGGCATCCTATACTTACAGTTCCAGCACAAAATTCAACGCTTACCAAGTAAGCAAAGAATATGTACTTGTGGGATACTTGCAGGAGCATGACCATTTGCTCATTTGCATCTGCAGCTGTACCACAAATTCCCCCACATGCCTCTTTGTGAAAACACCCACTGTTATTACAGTTAATCCACAGTCCAAAATGGCAGTTTACCAGTTTCACAGTTGGTTCCCGTGAATCCAAACTGGCACACACACTGGTAGCTGCTGGAAGTCTGTGAGCTTTGATAGCAGCTGCCATCATTCAGACAGGGGTTGTTGGGAGAACAGGCATCTGTGGTATGGAGAAGACAGTTACATTGATAACAAATATCATGAATGAGATAATGTGCTAATGACTGCGGTGTTTCAAGCCTGATGGCTGAAACATATCAATGCACTACTTCAAGAAAGGTCATCATGACTATAGACTAATCGGAGGAGACGCCATACTACAGTGGCGTCGTGGTCACAGTCACATTCCTGATCTTGAAACGTGCACTTTTGGCCAATCGCAACACCCTATTGGTCAATGTGGCATGTCGCACACATGTGCTACCTATTTACGCAGGTTGTGCCACCGCAGTAATGGCGTCTTAATTCTGGTTCTCAAATTTCACGATCGCAGAAGGTACTTCACAGCCTCACTCATTAATGCACATGTACTGAAATGCTCACAAAGTTTTCAATTTTCTCTATTAATACGTCGCTCTCCGATGACGTCACTTCCTACAGATTGCCAAATATGCATCGGTATTCTGGATATCAATTTTTCACGACATGCATTGGCTGTGCCATGTTTCAAACACATGTGGATCAACACACGTGCATGCACAGAACATTCTGCACACTGTGCACACCAGCACCTGATGGCATTGAAAACACAGTTCGAATTTTCCTACAAAGATGGCATCCTATGAGAGATTGCTCAGTCTGCTTTATACTGTCTGGCCTACGTACAAAGGATCCTCAAACAAGATATCATCCAAAGGAACCACACAAGGAAGCTGACAAGGTGCTTACACAACAATTATAATGTTGAACACAAAGTCTGACGAACAACAGGACTAATGTACAAGTAAAGTATTCTAGAAGTTACAGGTTCAAATCCCACTCCAGTCAATTTAGTGGTTCATCTTCATAATCAAACTTAACCAGAGCACTTTTTGATTCCAACCAAAAGTATTTTGTGAGCATGTGCAAAAGGCACAACACTACTTTATCTCACAGAAAAAGCTCCTAATTCTCCTATTTAAATGATCAGCCAACAGAATAACTTGAACTTTTCAAGTCTTAACTCCCATTGTTTGAACAAAGCAGACACAGTTTTTTGGGGGGACACATTTCCCATGCCATAAACATCTTCACCTAGTTGTTTCTAAGCAATGAGCACCACGATTCAACCAAACTTACTGAGAAACTGGCAGGTTGCACCTGAGTAGCCTGGTAAGCAGACACAGTTGAAATTGGAGCCTGTCACAAAACAAGTCCCTCCGTTGAGACAAGGCCTTACGCTGCAGGGTGTGGTAGCAGCTACATAGTAAATAGGAGAAAATACCCCAACAGGACCTTTAGTAACCTTCTCGGGTTACATTTACAGCTGGTGACTGAAAAAGTATGATTTTTCTAATTCTTGACAGTTATGTTTAGCTAAAAATGCTGACCCTGTATTTGGTGTTGTAATGTATACAGAATTGATCTCCCAATTTTGGTTAAGTGTCAATCCGAGTTTAGCGCAAAGCGGTTGCTCTAAGTATCTAAAAGACAGTTATTTAAGAAAAGACAAATAAACCAAACAGGTCTGACTTTTAAGCAATATTCTATTAACCTTGATGTAAAAACAATACAAAATCATATGTACTGCATGTCACATAATTTTATAAAACTGCGACCTACATGTTTGGCAGTTGTTGCCGGTGAAGTCTGTGGTGCACTGGCACCTATACTGCACATTGCTGACTCTGATGCATATGCCGCCATTACGACAAGGCTGGGTGAGGCAAGGATCTGTGCACACAAAGCAGACAGCACGAGGACTTGTTAATACATCCCTAAAAATCTAAATAAGATGTACTCCTCTAATCCATGGCGAGGCTGTGCAATACGGTCAAGGACACAGAATAACAGCTTGAATTCCTGTCTAGATTATACTAAATTTTGAACGGGCTTTTTGACCCTCCAAGGTGGCCCATTCAAATATTGTACATTTAAAAACTTCACGCTATGCAACACTGTGATCTTTTGAACAAGAATACAATTTGTCACAGTTATTTGACAGAAAGTATTGCCTAGTTCAAAGGTCTGGACAACAAAAAACAATCATTTGTCATAAAAGGGAATAACATGTCATGTAGCTCAAACAAAGAACTCATAGGCAGTTTGTGCACAATGTATCACTATGGTGTGTCAAAATTATCCCATCTGTCACACTGTAGTGTAGCCAGTGCAATGTACATTATATGCAGCATTTCAGTTGGTAGATAATCTGTTATGCTCAGAACCTCAAAGAACTCTGGGTTCCAGGCTTGCCGCAGTAAATGTTTGCAACACCACGTTGGTGGAGAGTGCTGTCGAGAGTGAATGGCAGTGTCTTTTTTTACCTGCTGGGGGTATGCTGCATCGTGTACCGGTGTAGCCGGCTGGACACTGGCATAGGTACATGATGCCGGCACCATCTTGGCGAGAGGTGCATGTGCCGCCATTCAAGCATGGATTGGATGAACATGGATTGGCTGCAGGGAAGAAGGGACAAATTTGATTGACAAAAGGTAGCACAGCCTAGCTTGAATCATCCAATCAGATGACAGACTTCACAATGGCTGCCACACTGAAAGTTAAATTATTGTGAATCCCTGATTGGGTAAAAGTGCAACTTACTCAATCTCCTTAAGTCTCTTTTTCATACTTTTTGCTAATAAGTACTTTGCATGGATGAACTTGAAAGCTTCTTTTCCTTAATAATTTTAAAAGACCCAGTTTTGTAAAGCTGAATTGTGATTAGAATTGTGCTCCATCTGAATCTTACTTTGATAGTATAATTAGTAATACTACAAAAGGGTCTTTCATTGCTTGGGATCACAAAAATTCTCTTACTATCAATCTTAAAGATCAGCACTATACACTCCCAACTTTTTAATTCAGATTATTTTGAATTCCTTCATGACTATATTGTGGGTTCGATCCAGGCACCTTATCACCTTTTTTTCAACATGCCATCCAGCAAGCCCGGTAATGTTTAAGTCGAAACCCTGCTGCTTTTCAACTTTCCACAAGGTGATAGTTAATTGATCTTGTCTTCAATTGATAAACTGGGGTGGGGTCTGTTATGTTGATCTTAACTGAGGTCAGTGCCTGTGAGTGCATAACACTTCAATGAAAGTGAACTTAATGTGACCCTTATGAAGCATTAGGTTCTGATATATGAGGATATAAAAATCCAAATTTCACGCTGTGTGCATGCTGAGCCCCATCATTTTAAATAAGTAACATTTACAAAGTATGAAAAGGAAGTGACTTTCAATTTTGCCAAACCTGAGAACTGGCACCGATCTCCATAGTAGTTGGGCCCACAGTCGCATAGGTAGGTGTTGGGGTTTGCTGGACTTACAGAACACTGTCCTCCATTCAAACATGGCTGATTGTTGCAAGGATCTATGGCAGGCAATAATTCAAAAGAGGACAAATGATGAATCATGGTATATACATCCCATGGAGTTTACTAATACAGAAAATCCTTACAGATCAAGTAAATCAAATTAGACATAGCAAGTTAGATGGTTTGATTTTTTATATTTAGCTGAATGGGGACTGTAACTACCCCCCCTAAAAAAAAGGGAAAAAATCATTTGAACCTTAAATTCACAAGAAAAACATTCTCTTCATTTGAAACTTAAAAAATTTATTTTCCACATGTCCATCAAGGTCTTTCAACAAAGTCAGATTTTACCTAAATATTACACAACTGTCAGGAATGATTTCGTCTCTTAGTGTTACAAACCTCTCTGGGGTAATAAAGTGAATATCTTTGAGAAAGGATACTGTGATCTGGCCAGAATTTCTCTGCCTGTGTTACATGGGATAAAACTAACACTCTGAACATAAAAATGTGCGTTGTTGTTACCATACATCCTAGAGACACGTCACAAGTGCCCTTAACCTTTCACCTAGCGGGGATAAGCTATTTTCATCACAGAGGTTACTATAAATTGTCTTACTTGGTGGTGCCACTTGGCACTGATCTCCTGAGTAGCCCGTTGGGCAGGAGCACACGTAGATGGTGTTGGGTCCAATGTTCATATTGTTGCACGTGCCTCCATTTAGACAGGGATTGGACGCGCACGGATTGGCTACGAAAAGAAAAAGCCATGACACAACATAAATCAGATGCCAAACTTGGCCAATCCAAGTTTAATGTGTGCCTTCAGATTTTCTTGAGCTACGTTGCATCGTGCACTCACAAACCACGGCTGCAACGGCTCTGCAACGCTGCCGCACTCACCATTCTCACAGTTTGTCCCAAAAAAGTTATTGATGCAGTTGCAGAAGTAGGCAAAATTGTTGTTTGGCAGGAGGGAGCAGACGCCACCATTTTGGCAGGGATTGGAGTTGCAAGGACCTGCATGGGGAAAAAGACAAAGCTAATTATAATCTGCAAAGCTGTCTTTGCTGTCTTTTTCCCTGGTGATGTAAACTTACAGGTTCTCTAAATCGGAAAGAGTGAAATTAGGGACAAGATGTTTAAGATTGAAAATCACTCTGAATTTAGATTGAAAAAGGCTGAAAATAATCCCTTCCAGTGGAAGCTCCAGTGAAATTTCAGTCTTTTGGGAGTGAAAAAATTTCACTCCAATTCATCTGGTCCTTAATTTCAATCTGAGGGATTGAATTTCCACTCAAATGGAGTGAATTTTCACTCTTTGGAATTTAGAGACTGGGCATATACATCTTGCCACCTGTTCTCATGTTTTATTTTACTCAAGTTGAAGCTTTGGCAAGTTGAATGTGATTAGTATGCCATCCAATGGTGTACTTGAGGGAGGGGGTAACACATTCCCCACGAAAAAAATGTTGTCACCTCGATGTCACATCCATACCCCTTAAGTAACCATCTGTGCATGGGCAGAGATTTCTGAGTCTTATCACATGTTGTCACCCCTATGTCACATCCATACCCAATACATGACCGACTGTGCATGGGCAGAGATTTCTTTTCACATGTTGGGGGATGATGTCTCAAAGTTCAGCATGGCCTCCGTCCCAGTTGACATCAGGATGCCAGCAAATGCGTAGTCGGTGGTGCAGGCTAAGGATGTCGTTTAGTCAGTGACTTGAAAAGTATAACCCCCTAACCCGTAATAAAATAGGCAATATATCCTCCCATCTCCCGGTATCTCCGCCCATGCCTTTATGGTTAGAAGCCTGGTTACGTTGCTGATCCAACAGATGTACACTGCACTATCCATGTATCCATGTATCTCAGTTCCATTCTACCATGAATACGGCTAGCAAGTGTTAACTTTAAAGTATCCCATGAAATGTTTCAAAAGACACAGGAAGGTCTTGCAGAATGACACACGCCTCGCCTGATAGCGCTGCAGACATACTAACGTCTTGACAGTTGGATTGAAACCCACCCATTTACAGCAGTTTACGTCAGTCTCCTCAAATAATTGACCACACACAGCATTCCTAATGGTGTTTTAAAGGCCAAATTGAATCCTAATGCATATGAAACAAGAACAGGTCACGCTGTTGAGAAGGTTCTGGCTACAAATGGACTCCTTGTGCATCCAACAAAGAAATGCTTCTTTCAAATTCATCAAAAGCATTCAGTTCTGAGTGGCCCCTTGTTCTACTAATGTGGAACAATTTTGCTGAAAATCATTGTGTAAAGTTTTACCAGACCAGCTGAAAGTATACAATTGATGGAGCAATGGGCAAAAAACAGTAACAGTTAATAGTAATAATAATAATAAATAATAAATAAAATGCCACAGGAGTGCTGCATTTTAGGGAGAGTCTTAGGGCTACTGGTACTCACTTGGTCTGGTCTGACAGTTCAGCCCTGTGTAGCCATTGAAGCATGAGCAGAAATAGAATACTGAGGCGCCGTTGTTGCCCCGGGTGCATCTACCTCCATTTTGGCATGGATTGGAATTACATGGATCTGGAGATGGCCAACAACAGAAACAAGTAAAGATGAATCCAGTGTTCATGTGCAACTAAGAGTGGATCCAAAGGGGGCTGGGGGCAAAGGGGCCATGGTACCCCCCCCCAAAAAAAGAGCAAAATATTGTTTTCAGTAAAAATGGTTTATTTCATTTTGATTCTCTCCTAAAGCATAAAACGTCTCATCTTTTCCTTCAACAAAGCCATCAAAGGTTACATGAATAATTTCTAATTTTTGCCCCTCATAAGTTTTCTTCCTCACCACAAATTTGGATCTGTATCTGTCGATTTTGTACACAAAATTACTCTACATCTCGTAACAGCTGATGCCAGTCAGATGACACAAGTTCAAAAAGAAAATAAGACAAAAAAAGAGCCGAAAAATTTTTAATAACATAATATGATTTTTACTCACCATCTATAATCACGGTTTCACAATTCTGGCCAGTGTATTCTGAGGGGCAGGCACAGGAGTAGGAGGTGAGGCCTATGGGCAGACACACTCCACCATTCAGGCATGGATTGGGGGCACAACGGGTCTGCGGAGCTGCATATGATGTCAAAATAAGCAATGGTCAGTGCCAAATGTTTCCTATCTCCTTTATGAAAATCAAAGTGACAGTCACTTTTGTTCATGAACTCTTTAAACACTTGGCAATCTTTCTGTTCAACTTTGTGAAACTGCTAGATCTTTGAAAAGACCTCATAATCAGCAGAAAGGGCTCTGTATCACTGAGAGGTCCGTTTTCCTTCTTAACTGAATTTCATTCGATTTCAATACCACACATCTTTTGTTAATTTTGGGGGGAATTACACCAAGAGTTCCTGAACGGAGTACAGTACAGGCGCTATACCCTACAGTCTGAAAAAAAATGAAGAAAGTAGACTGTGCACAAAGAAACGTGCCGTTGTTATGGCGGGATGAGAACCTGAAATAACAGTCCATGAAAAATGTACCCAAAAATTGGTCCAGGTCTGAAAACAAAATCTGTATGTCAGCCTGAGTGGAATTAAAACCTCAGTCACAGAGGTTGAAGACAAGGAAAGCACCAGAGTGCCAATCAGACCACTCAACTACGCAACAAGTTACTGATGTGTATTCATTTGGAAAACTTGTCATGTTAGACTGGTACTAGCTAATTGGGCATGGATGTTCCAGAAGGCCAAGCTGACAGCCATTCTGTTTTGCCACAAAGAGCCAGTTTTTCATGTCAGAGAAGGGTTACTCACATGTTTGGCATATGGACCCCGTGTAGCCTTGCAGACAGCTACAGGTGAAGACGTTCTGGGTGACACTGATGACATTACAAGTGCCAGAATTCAGACAGGGGTTGGGCTGGCAAGGTGTAACTGATCAGGAAAAGGACAAATTAACCACAAAAACGTGAAAATAACTGAACAAATCACAAGGAAATCTGTCTGAGGTAAGCTTTTAATCAGTTTTCTTCCTGTTGCATGAAGAAAAATGACTGAAGCTGGAATCGAACCAAGAACCCCAAGAACGCAGTACGAGTGCCCTACCAATAACAAAGTGAAATGTTCCAGTCACACATACCCACCACAGGGACAGGTAGCTCAGTTATGGGCTGCATCCTTTTCCAGTCAGTTTTCTGGTTTTTTTTAACTCAAAATTAAAAATTGAAGAATCACAAGGAATTCAATGGCTTCAATATCTAGACCCAAAATTAGACGGTCTATGCAGAAACTGAATAATTATAATCCCATGGCTGCAAAACCTCTTTTATTTGCATTTATAAAACTTTTGGCATTTAAATAAACTAATGAGAGACCAAGTAAACAGTCAAGGCACACACTATTTTGATTGCATTGCAAAATATATACGGGATACCCTGCCTGCATGTGATACTTGACTGTTCATGTATGCAGTGCTCGACAATCTCAACAATGTTAATAGGAAAGTGAAGATCATAATATGTCACTTTAAAAAAATCTTCATACAGCACTGCAGGCTGTGGCAGCATGTGTACTTACAGATTCGTGTCTGGCACTGGTCCCCTGTGTACTGTGCAAGGCAGGTGCAGCGGTAACCATTGATCTGATCTGTACAGGTTCCGCCATTCAAACAGGGCCGGCTGGCACACTCATCTATTAAAAAAAAAGCATCAGTAAGGAAGAAATATCGGTGGCCTTCAGTTTGCATAAATTTCTACCACAATTTCCTTGCAGTGGCACATTCCCATCTAGATCAAAGCATGCTCACCAATGTTTATCTCGCACAGTGTCCCGGTGTACCCTGGTAGACAGGAACAACTGTAAGTGTTCACTCCATCTATGCATGTCCCGGAGTTGAGGCAAGGGTTGACTGGTGCACAGTCATCCCCATCTGTCAAAGTATGACATAGGAAAGTTCAAAATAGAAAAGACTACAGATGTAAAAATAGAGCTTGCAAATGCCAGGAAAAAAACTTACTTGCATGGATCGGCACTACTGACAACACTGCGTGAGGTACAATGGAAATGAAGGAGAAACTATCATTGTTTGCGACCAGTAAACTTCTATATTCCTGAGAATTGTGCCACGCAGAGCAACATACCTAAAACGAGCAATAGATCTTAAAAGTAAAGCATTCCAAAGACTTGTTTCATGAAATTGAAACCCTTTTTTCAGTCTTCTTCCAAATGATAATTTTTCTGAATCTCTGTACATCTTTTGCTTATAAATATCAGAACAGGCTCAATGCATATCAACAGTGGCACATTTTCTGAAAGTTACTGGAATGAATGCATGTATTCCTTACCAATCAGTGTTTCACAAAACTGCCCCGTGTGGGTGGATGGACACACACAGATGTAACCTAAATTAACAGCTGCTGATGCAGCACACTGGGCTCCGTTCAGACACCGGTTATTAGTGCATGGGTGGATGGTGCAGTGGGTACCGGTGAAACCTCCCTGGCATATACAGATGTAACGATTAACTTCATCCAGGCACCGTCCCTGATTGGCGCAGGGGTTGCTAATGCATTCGTTGATGTTTGTCTGGCAGATACTGCCCTCGTAACCAGCCAGGCACTGGCAAGTGAAGGAGTTCTGGCCATCTATGCAGATGCCGCCATTCAGACAGGGTCTGTTGATGCAGTCATCACCATCGACAATGATCAGGCACCGATCCCCAGTGAAACCGGCCTGGCATTGGCAGAAGTAGCCATTGACCTGCTCGATGCAGACACCTCCGTTTTGGCAGGGGTTGCTAATGCATTCTGGAATATCCAACTCACAGCGGTCACCGGCGAAGCCCGGCAGACACTGGCAAGTGTAGGTGTTGATACCATCGATGCATGCAGCACCGTTCAGGCACAAATTGGGCGTGCGGCAGTCATCAATGTTGGACTCGCAGGTGCTGCCGGTGTACCCTGCCGGGCAGACGCAGATGGCCGTGTTGACCCCATCCTGGCATCGGCCGCCATTCAGGCATGGGTTGGGTGTGCAGTCGTCAGTGTTGATCTCGCAGTTCTGGCCGCCAAAGCCAGCCAGGCATTGACATGTGTAGCTGGTGGCTCCCGGAATGCAGACCCCACCGTTCTGGCACAGGACGCCCTGGCAGAAGTTGACCTGCTGTTCACAGCGGCTGCCCTGGAAACCCACCAAGCAGTCACAGGTAGGGGCAATTAATCCTTCTCGACAGATGCCCCCATTGAAGCAGTACCCCACGGTGCAACGGTTGATACGTGTTTCACAGTTAGTCCCTTCAAAACCAACAGCACATATGCACCTGATGGCAAACAAAACAAAACATACATTACGACAAATGTGTGGGCCCCAAGCTGGACCAAGAGAGTCTCCTTGTCAAGATCCCTAGAGGATGTTTCAGGAGGAAATTAACCAAGTACCAAGTACAAGAGAGGGCACTTTTTTCTCAGCAATGGAGGTTTCTTTGATCAGAACTGAACTTCACTAGTTCACAAAAGACTAGGAAATGTAGGTATCACAGTATCATTACTACTGACATATTGAACACTCCCAATCAACGCTGTTCTTTTCAACCAATGAGGGATGGTGCTTCGGCTCAAGGCAGATACAGTGTTAAAAATAAGTACTGCGCACCGTCTATCGCCGCATAAAGAATCCAGAAACACAAATAATTGCAATTATGAGAGACCGATTTTGCACTTCCAGCAGAACTGCTTTCCAAACCAACACGAAATCTAAACCTAATTCCAGACCCACTGTCTGAATTCTTCTGGTATCATGACATAACGCCGCCTATACCTTCACAAAAGTTCACAAGATCAACTGCATAAAGATGGAGCCTTCAATAAAAATCCAGTCTTGCAGTCAAGCTCATCACTAGTCCCTGCATGTCCATCACAAGCCATCTGGGTATGAGTCAAATCTCGACTGCATCAAATGGACTCTTGCAAAAGCATTCCTCTGTCACCATTGGCCCTATTTCTCATGACTGGTCTTGTGACAAGGCTGGGGACTAGAAAGTGATGGACTCCACTGAAATGACAGAACCACTCGGCAGCAGACACTTCTCTTAACTGGCTCTCACTCGATACAAAAGGGAACGTAAACAATGGAGCACCCAAGAAAGGGGGGCTTGGGGGACTTGAGCCATCCCCCTGAGGTTTGCTATTTTCAAAAAATGTCCTAAATTACCAGAAACATGAATATGTAATATATATCTCGATCTTAAAGTTCTAGCTTAGAAATAGCCATAAATCCTAGTCCCGGGGGAGCATTGTGAAATATTTAGGGGAATAAATTGGCCAACCCATGACAGATTCTGGATTTGGCACTAATGCAAACCAGTGTGAATTGGTGTCATTTCAATGCCAATATTCAATAACCATACATGTAAGAATTTTAGACACTCTAACTTGTCATCAAATTTAACCACAAAACTTGCATCCATGCTTTGCTTACATACCGAGTACTACAAATAACCACAGATGGTTTCAAACCTAAAGTGAAGTCAAGCCAACATTTACCGATAAGATCCAACGGCGTTGACACAGTTTCCCCCATTCTGGCATAGGAACGGCGTAGTGGTACACTCGTCGATGTCAACCTCGCAGTTCAACCCAGTGTAGCCTGTGACACAAACGCAGGTGTAGCGGTTGAACTGCTCCAGGCAGGTCCCACCGTTGAGGCAGGGGTTACTGGCGCACTCCTCGGTGTCCACAGGCTGGTCGCAGTTCTGCCCGGTCCAGTCGGTGCGGCACAAGCAGAAGTACGCACCCTGGTTAGACAGGCAGAAGCCGTTGACACAGGGGTTGCTGTTACAAGGGCTTGTGTCTGGATGTGAATGGAGCAGCAACAAATGCCAAAGAAAGAATGAAAATACAAAATTTGTCTCAAAATTGGCTCGCCAGTAGACAAGTGCATATACATCAGACAGTTCGTCTAGAAGATACAAAATTTCAAAATCATAACGTTACTCCATTCCGGAAAACCCCTTGTAATCACTTTGTTTCTTTGATGTGATCTTTTGCAAGTTTTCTGCATTTCTATCACAATCTTCACACACGGTTCTTCTTTGTCACTGTATGCCTGTATATCTGACTTCTGACTAAAAATGTCTTTTGCAGAGTTTGTCAAAATGGTACACAATTCCACAAATAAAGGTGTTTTTGTCAAGGACTCTGGAGGGAAACCCTTACTTATTTCACACACAGTCCCAGCAAAGTTGTTGAGGCAGATACACTCATAGCCATTGACCCGATCCATGCAGACACCATTATTCTGACAGGGGAAGGATGCACACTCGTTGATATCTATTAAAAAGAATATTCCAAGCAAGATTCAATTTCATTATTGCCATTGCTCTCAGCAAGCAACCACCATCACAAACCAATCATTGTCACATACTATGATCCTTGCTCTATAAACTGAGCCATCCACCTTAACTGTTTAAACAAGGCCATGGGTGTTATTAACAAGGGAGCAAAGCTCCTCATTGAGGGAGGATGCTTAACAGCAGTAGCAGACTGATATCATCAGCAGTACATGTGGATGAATGGAAGAGTTTTGAGATGCTTCGTTGCAGCAATTATCAAGGTCTTGTCAGTGTTTTATAAGCCCTTCACAAGTCCAGTCACAAGTCCCTTCTTATTAGGCCAGTCATACGTAACAGGGTTAACAATGACAACAGAATACTTTTGTCACAGGTTATTTGCATAGCTTGTGAATTGACAGACTTACAGGGACTTGCAGGGACTTGTGATGGACTTGAATACAACACTGCTATCTCTCATTCTCAGCAGGTGTATGTTACCCCAAATGTGATGTGAACAACAGAAAGACTGCTATGTTTACTGTCACCAAGGGTCTCATAGTTCTCCCATTCTTAAGCACTCAAACTGGTGCTTTCATTTCCTGTATTTTTTCCCACTTTACTGCAGGGGGAGGTTCCCACATGCCCTCCACTCCTCTTTGATGAAAACAATTATAAGCAGATGACTGTTGTGATATGCCAACCAGAGTCAGCCCTGTACCCAAATGGGCAGTCGTCGTGCAAAAGACTCACTGATATCACATATGTCTCCCTGGTAGCCTGGCAGGCAGTCACATCTGTACCGTCCACCCACAAGGTCCACGCAGTTGCCCCCATTCAGGCATGGCCGGTTCACACAAGGGCTGATGGCTGTGAACAATCAACAGGACAAGTACGCCTGGTCAGCACCATCAAGTTTTACTCCTTTTTCACCTGTGAATACTGCTCATGGCCACCAATAATTATTCTTATACCAATGGAAAGAAAATGCAAAAAGATTTTCAACACAACTCGCTTTTGCAAGATGCTAATTCTATGGATTCACAAGATGATTTGGTCTGATTTAAGACGTAACTTGGTGTAACTGGTGGTGGTGTAATTCTTCCAAATTTTAACGTCACTCTGAGAGTTGCCGGTGCAACCAGGGAAAGGTAACATGAGCTTGCATTCCTAAACTTTTACAGTGCCATGTCATTTTGAAAGTTGATGGCCACTTTGTTCCCATCGCCGTAACTACAAAACTTGTGAAAGACACTACATGGTGCAACAAACATACCTTCGCTGCAGACAGGTCCCTGCCACGTGGGCTGGCAAATGCAGATGTAGCCACCAATCTGGGAGATACACGCCCCCTGGTTCTGACAGGGGTTGGAGATGCAGGCATTGGGAGCTGGTATCATGAAATACAATGTACACAGTGAGTTCAACAAACCAGGCATGAATTCAATTCAATTTCGCGGTTCATCGTTATAATTAACCATGTAAGGGATATGACTGACAAGGGGCATAAAGTTACCATTTTCACATCTTACACCACTGTAGCCAGGCTGACATGCGCACTGGAATGAATTGGGGAGGTCTGTGCATTGTCCCCCATTCAAACATGGAGAAGCGGCACAGTCATCAAAATCTGATGAAACAAACAACCAAATTAATAAATGAAATGCTGTACAGTAGCATATTATTTCATGAAAAAAGAATACCAAGCTACTAGAACATTTCAGCTGTTGCAAGTATTTGGACAAAAATGTAGGTTCTGTAACATTATCGACGATTGTTAATCCGTTATATATAAATGACATGCATTTTATTAACTTTTCCCAGTGTCATTGCGATTTCTTCTTGTTGTTTTTTAATTGCAAGCAATGTTTTCAAGATACCCTAAGTGTGATACCAGATCGAACACATTTCAACCGAACACAGATTTTCTTTTCATCTTTTTGCTGTAATTCACTAAACAACATCAACGTCCGTCCACACTTGCTAACAAGAAGACCGAACAAAAAGTCTTTCGCAAAGACAAAGAAATCAAGCACAAAATACATTCAAGGACAATACGTCTCATTTTGTTCTTATATTCAAATTGTCCCTGCTTCAATGTCGCTGAGTAATTAAAGCTTTCAAGTTTCACATGCGAAAAAAACAATCAGCAAAAGATACCTGATTCGCAGCGCGACCCAAAAAAGCCGGCAGGGCAGTCACAGACATAGCTGTTGACCTGATCAGTGCAGATGCCACCGTTCAAACAAGGGTTGCTGACACATTCGTTGATATCTGTAAACAAACAACGGCGTTTCGGCATTTATGCTGCTCTCAATGTAGGAAGAACGCATAATCAGGTTGCCATCATGTTGTATTTGGTCATTTGACCAAAAGACCATGAGTAAAATGTCATATTTAATGTTGTGTACACTTTTTTATTCTTTTTTTGACCGGGGGAGTTGCGACTTTCTCAATGCATACAGGACTGAAGTTTTGAAATGTGTGAAGTATTGGTCGCATAACTATGGGGGGCATGTGAAATCCCCCAACAAATTATCCACCCTAGGGGCCCAGAAATTTCACCCTAATTATGCCACTATGTGGCTGGCACATGAGTTTGTGCTTACGTAGAAATAGTTATCTCCCTGAGTTTTAGCCATTTGGGTACAGAAGAACATTAACAAAGATGGGGACATGCAGCTTGGATGGTCGAACACCAGCACAGTACTGAATCTCTCACAGGTGTGAATCCCTCTCCAGTAACTTTGTTTGTTTGACTGGACACTGAAAAATCATTTCAAAAACACAGGTAACTTACTTTCTTGGCAATTGAGACCACGGAAGCCCGCTGCACAGTTGCAGATGTACGCGTTGATGTCATCTTGACAGAAGCCACCATTCTGGCAGGGGTTGGTCGCACATTCATTGATGTCTGTGACAAAACAATGGACAGGGTAGTGAAAGGGTTTGGTATTGGAAAACTTCAATAAAATGTTGCATAACATTTAAGGGAAGTGGTACTATACACAGAGGGTTACCACCAAGAGTCAAGTGGCAAAAACAAGTTCAGTTCTGAGATTCTACAAGACTGACCGGAAACAATGTATTCCGATGATATAAAGTGCTGTAATCTTAAGAAGTAAGGTTTAGGTGAAATGACGCCAATATGAAAAGGATATTTAACAGAAAAAGTTGTCCAAGTGAATAAATTTGGTGAATATATCAACAAGGATGACCAAAAACTGATGTAGAGACAAGATACTTTCAAATACTTTAAAAAGGTCATATTCGTCAGTTGTTATTTAACTTGGGTGCAACCAGTAAATTCTTTCATGTATAGTTTGGTAATTCGTAAAAGCAATAAAACAAACAAACAAACAAACACCCCAAAAAACAAACAAACAAACAAACCATAACAAAATCCACCAATCAAGCATATTTTAAAAACCTTCTCAATGAAACAAATAAAGATATTCTGCATCACTGATCATACTTGTCTGGCAGAGGGCACCAGTGTAGCCGGCAGCGCACACGCAGTCAAATCCATTGACTCTGTCCACGCACTGTCCAAAGTTCAGACAGGGGTTAGGAGAACACTCATCAATCTCTGAAAAGGGCAAAACACATATGTAAGGGCAATGGAGGCTTTAGTACAAAGCAGTCTACTTCCCTAGTCTGCCCTTGTGAGCAAAATGTATTCCTTGTAACTGGAAGCCTTACCACGCAAAATAAGTTGATTAATAAATGTCAGCAGAAGGTGTGCTGCAGATATCATATCTGCGTATGGAAATGTTAGCTTACTTCGAGGCCGTGTCCGAAACAGGCTTCTGGAGCTACAGCTAGGTCTATTGTCTACGCGTCTCCATGCATTTCCAATGGAGTGACGACCTAGACCTAGCTCTAGACAAGAGATTCGGATGCAGCCCGAGTCTCAAAAATGTCAATAGATGACTATCACATGAATGAACCTTGAAGCATCTTCAAACTTTCCCCAAGGCACTGCCCTTGACAACATGCTTGTCAGAAATTCGGCGCTTAAATTTGGGCCAGGTATTGACTAAAGATGATTTTCATGTGCGCCGCAAGAAATTTTGCTGGTCTACACATTTTGGGTTGACCCTTGACGCAAAAACAGCTTGTGATTTTAGCAAGGACACTGGCTACAGAACTTACGTATCTGGCAGGTTTGGCCTGTGTAGCCAGCAGCACAGTTACAGGTGAACGTTCCCTGCCCATCCACACACACTCCACCATTAAGACAAGGTTGATTTGCACAGTTATTTGCATCTATGGAAAAAGACAGATGATTTAAAATGTCAAATTCCACTAATAACCATACCAGATACGAAGAATAATTCTTATTAAGAATTGTATAAGCACAAGATTGAAACTCTAGGATATGTAACAGCTTCTCTACAAATCAAGTGACCAGATCTGCACTGAAGGTATTTTTATGCCACTGCTCAAAACTCACCTCCAGCACAGAGTTCGCCAGTGAAACCTGGCGGACACTCACAGCGATAGAACAGTGCCTGCGTGTTGTCTGGAACACAGGTGCCCCCATTTTGGCAAGTGATGAAAGCACAGATATCTGAAATGGTATCAAAAGGATCATATCATTATGATGATGCTAACTTCGATTCGTCCAGACCAAACATGTTGGGTACCCGTTCACCGGATTATGGGGACAATTTCTTTTGTTGGGCAAATTAGGACCGCATTTGTGGGGGCATTTCTCTATTCCCATGTTTTTGGGCCCCACAAAATGATGAAATGTGTGTTTATCCCGACAGCTATGGAACAAGAAAACATGCGCACTTAACGTGTGAAAAATGCAAGGTAAATTCACTGACAATATTTCATTGAAATTGCCATGTAATTTACAGAGCAATGATATGTTCTCAGTTGATGCAAGACCCACAGACTGAATGCAGTACACAGAGAAGCTTACCCGAAGTGGTGACATCGCGCTGACCGAGGTTCAGATTGGCCGGTTCCCCATCCATCAGCACCGACAGGTAGGCCGTGTACTTGGTGGAAGGGGTGAGGCTGACAAAGTCCTGCACGATGAAGCCATTTTGGGCCTGGTTGGGGGACAGGGTCAAGGTCAACTCCTGGCCAGTGACGTCCTCGCGCAGCGTCAGGAAGTAGAGCTGGGCGGTAGGTTCGTTGAGTGGGGGGAAAGTCAGCTGGGCCGTGGTGGGTGCAACGCCAGTCACCGTCAGGATGTTTGTTACCGCTTTTTGGGGGGAGCGGGGGGAGGAAGAGTGACAAGGTTGGCATAGAGTTAGATTTGGAGCTCAACTTGAAAGAACACCATTTTCGATTTGACATTAAAAGCTGTCATGCATTCGTTTTACAAAAGAAAATTTGCCATTATGGCAATGGAGGAGTACTCCAGACAATTAAATCACGCCAAATATGAGACTTAAAGAATGAGGGGAACAACTTTAATGCTACGATAACGCACGCGGCAATCGATATGGCAGCGCCAATGCGAACAAGATGACATGTTGCTGGAGGACACTAAAACACAAATGCACTGATTGTGTCTTTTTGTGATGCACTTCGGTGAATTTGCACACAGTAAGTCAGTATCAAAGAAGTGTGCATTACACTTTGAAAGTTTTATCTGGTGGATGTGCACCATCTGGGGTGGGACAGTTGAATCTGATAAGCTAATGTTTAGCCTGCACTAGCTACTACTAGCCTGAACAGTTCTTGTTTGGAGTCTATATGAACCACCAGACTCACCTTATTCAACACCTGCAAGAGTCAAAACCTGGAAGGAAAGTTGATGTCTTACCCACTTGGCACATGAGACCCTGGTACTGTGCCGTGCACTCGCAGGTGAAGCCTAGGAACTGTTCAATGCAGCGACCCCCGTTCCTGCAGGGACCACTGGCACATTCTGGGAAATCTGCAAACCGGACCAACGGACAGGAAATTGTATCAAGAGAGGGGATGGCCGTTGCATATATACTTTATGGACAGCACCAAACTCAATGGCTTGTAGAAAATGTTGTTTTTCCTTATTTAAGACTCAACATACCTTGATCGCAGTTAAGGCCTGTCCAGCCATCAGGGCAGAGACATCTGTAGCCTTCCTGAGTGCTGGAATCAGTTATGCAGATTCCTTGGTTCTGACATGGCGGCTGATCTGTGCACACACCTGGTAACAACATCATCATCACAATTAGTCTATTTCTGATCAACCATGCTCTTCAATAGGTCTTACATTATTCAAGACAAAGAAGAGAAATAAGAACATTGGAGTATTGGACATGGATCACGGGAGTTATCTATTTTGGCAAGCTAGTTTTAAAAAAAGCCAGGAGAGATTGTGACAACATTAACAAAAATGTTGATGAAACACTGAACCATGTTGGACGATTTGATCTAGACATTCAGCAGAAATGCAGCAAGAGTAATCCACTGAATTCATAAAATTAGCAGCACTTCAAAAGCTGAATATAACCTCTTCAGAACAATTGTTCACAACTGTTGAACAATGTAACCCTTCTTCAAAACTTACTAATTTGCATGGAAAAGTTTTCACCACCTAAACCCTTCAATTTGACTGAAGCCTTTTAAACATTTGAAACAATTATTGTAGTCTGGAAAAACCGTATCAAGTTCTGAACAGAGGCCTTCAGCGAGAGCAGCAGGAAACGTTGATCAAGTCAAGCATGAGGAAAAAATCACTTCTGGAATAGTAGAAAAAGTCATTTTGATGGGGGGGGTCAGTAGATGTGAAAAGGGCACCTAGCAATTGTGCTGGGTTTTGAAATGGTCACCAGCATCCATAAAAAGCAGGAAGTGGATTGGGTCAGTGGTGGCATGGCATAATGATTTCCGGGGGAGGGGCATTTGTGAAACCATCAGGCCATTACCCCCCAGTGAAAAGAGTGGGGGGTGGGGAGCAGGGCCCCATGGCCCTCTGACTCAGCTTCCACCGCCAGTGGGTGACACCACTTGACACATTTTTCCAATGTCAGCACTATCCAAGGCAATAGCCAGCACTATTCACGGTGGCATGCATGATACATTTGATCAATGCTGGCAAAAGCACTGGGTTACACAGGGTTAAAAAACAGAAGCCGCTTATGAGAAAAGGTACTTGTGAAAACAGGTAACTTGTTACAACAGGTGGGGTGTAACCAACTCCCCCATGCTGTGCCACCAACTGTCACCACTTACTCCTAGTGGTAGGTACTTGGGTGCCCACAACGTAGGGGGTGCCATCAGCCCTGATGATCAGCCGGATCTGATACTGGGTGGAGGGCTGCAAGCCCGTGATGAGCTGGTTGTAGACATAGCTGGGGTCAGCGTTGGGCACTGGCGGGATCTCAATGGAGCCCATCACGCCATTGGGGTCTGTCACCTCCACCACATAGATGAAGTTGGTTCCGGCCATGTCAATGCTGGGCCAACGGACCTGCACCGTGTTGTTTGTGATCTCGCCCAACATAAACAGGTTAGAGGAGGCTGCATTAAGTAGAAAATGTCAAATCTTATAAACCTCCCCAAATTAGTGAAGTTAAATCACACTTGACACAACTATTACTTCATAAAATGGTTTCAAGCTTTTATGTTCAGAATGAACTCTATTGAAAACAAATGGTTCCATATTGTGACTCTGCGAAAGCTAGGGAAAGTTGCCTTGTAGCTTTAGGATGAGGGGCATGTGAATATTAGTCATATTTGACTGTCTCGCATCCACTCTGTCATCTAAATAGCAAAAACAAATTGAGCTAGTTCCTGGTCCCTTAGTCAAGATTTGATACTTCAAGAGTTGCAGGCTGAAACTGGTTGAAAATTGAGCATCCTGACCTCGATCAGGTTAACTACTTCTTATAAGTCAACCATCTTCAGAGACCACAAAGTGTTGATTTTTTGATGAGGAGAGACCTCTGTAAAAAATCCTTGCTAAAGAGAAGTCAAAGTTATGCTTACGGATATTACATATAACCCCCATCCAGCCAACAGTGCAGACACATGAGAATGCATTTATTGCATTTACGCACTGGGCATTGTTCAGGCATGGGTTGCTGACACACTCGTCAATATCTGTGAGAAAAAAAACGTTATTTTTTCACAGATTTGAAAGGTATATCAGAATCTATAAGACGATGTCACAATGTTGTAATTAGATAAAGCTCAAAATTGATAACTTTCTGAATATTATTGCCAACATGAGGACCATTTGGTGTCAAATGAAAAAAAATGAAAGAAATTAAATCCTTATAAGAAATATTATAGCTGAAACTTAGGTGAGGAAAGCATACAGTTTGGCAAGAGTCACAAAATACCCTATCGGTTGGAGAGGCACACAAA